TGGACGGAGATGGTGCAGTGGTACGATGGGGACTCCCGCGTGCTGCAGTCCTCGTCCGCTGCGCTGCACCGCCTGAGAAGAAACGTGCATGGCACTGTTATGATTGATGAAATCATGCCAGAAGTCAACGAGTTTGACCCAGGTGGGCTGTGCAGCGAGGGGCCAGGGGCGAGGGGCGAGGGGTGCGTGAGTGAGGGGCTGCTCTGACCGCCCGCCACACTGCTGTGAGTGTATGAAAGGCACTGTGAGGATCGAGGAGCTTATGCCGCAACGAAACGAGCTTGACCCAGGTGGGTGCTGGAGAGGCTTGGAGCCGTCTTCTCCCGTGTGTGTGCACCCATGTGCATCCCTTTCCCACTCCCTTCCTTCCTCCTTGCAGGCGTGCCTGCATCCACACACCTGCCTTTCCTCATGCCCCTTCCATCCCCCATTCGCATTCCCTTGCAAACGTGGTGGCAATCTTAGACAGACTGGTGTATGCGCATGTGCACCCACCTCCCTTTCCTGACGCCCCTTCCATCCCCCATTCGCATTCCCTTGCAGGCGTGGTATCAATCCTTCACAACCTCGTGTGTGCGCACGCAGACGTCTTTCTGGCTCTCTCTTGCTCCCAACTCTGCTGCCCTTCCCCTTTCCCTTCCCCACTCCCTTCCTCCTTGCAGGCGTGGTGGCAATCCTAGACAAGCTCGTGTGTGCGAATGCAGACGTGTTTCTGGCGGGGTCGTGGAACTGTGGGGGCGGCAGGGGGTACGAGACGGACATTATCAAGCACCGCCGCCAGTCTGGTTATTCGGATGACACGCTGCAGCGATGGGCGGAAGGGTAGTGAGGTGCAGCGATGGGCTGAAGGGCAGTGAACACATCGCGCTGAAACTGTGGGGCCGTGAGGCTGTGGGGGCGGCAGGGGGTACGAGACGGACATTATCAAGCGCCGTTGCCAGTTCGTTCACTCCAATGAGACATTGCAGCGGTGGCCGCAAGGGCAGTGAGGTGCAGCGGTGGGCGCGGGGGCAGTGAGGTGCAGCGATGGGCGCGGGGGCAGTGAACAATACGCAGTTAGAAGTTGAGGGGTTAGCTGTTTGTCTCTTGACTGGTGGGTATGCCAGCAAGAGGAAGCCTTATCCCCGCTTTAGCATGTTAAAGGGAATATCATACGCGAGTTGCTGTAGTGTTTTGCCGCATGGTTTATAAGATTACTAAGAGTTTGTATATCAGAATGTAGTTTTAACTGCTCCTCTAGCACTCCATACCGTATCCTCCTTTCGTCCACATCTATCACTCATTCAACCTTGCAGCCTTGCACCCTTTTGATCGACTTGAGCTATCTTATTATTGACAGTCATACGGTACCAGTACTTGTCCAGTGTGTGGTATGCCAGTCGCCTATTAAACTACAACAAATCAATTGATGGTTACAGGAAGCACAGCGAAAACACCATGCGCCCATCGAGTCATCTCATCTCATCTCCTACTCCAGGAGCCCTGGCGCCTGTATGTGCTCATGCTCATGGCATGGCTGGCAATCACACTCCCCGCATCCCCCCCATTCTGCATGCGCGGACTCGAAGGCCTTGGGCTCGCCACTCGTGGCGACATGCCCATCATTCCCACCCCAGGGGAACCTCCAGTCATACCCCCTGGCGGTCCAAAAGCACGGGGTGAGTAGCCCCTGGGTGACATGGCCCTGGGGCTACTTCCACTACTGCCCTGGAAATGCAGGGCGCGGGGGCTAGATGTCCGCATAGCAGCAGAAGCAATCATAGCTCCAATGTCTGGAGCCGTGGGACTAGCCGCGTTGCGAGACGGATAGTGGCTATTATTCACGCTCGGCGAGCCGCCTATCCTCGGACTGCTGCTGGTTCGGTACGGCTCGGCAGCCCGTGCCGAGCCTGGCATCCCATACTGCCTCGGGCTGCTGCTGCTGGCCCGGTAAGGCTCGGGAGCTCGTGCCGAGCCTGGCATGCCGTAGTAAGCACTGTTCTGTGACACCGACCCAGCTCCCCCTATCCTGGGACTCGTCCCTCTACTCGAATCCGACCAAGCAGCAGCACCCCCACCCCCTCCCCCCCCACTGCCGTACCCACTAGCCCTCCCTGGAACAGAGGCAGCGGCGGGGTAGCAGCGGGGGCTGGGGTCGCGGAAGTAAGGGGCGCGGGGGGAGGGCTCTCGGATGGCGTTGTGGGGGGAGGAGTCACGCGGGGGGTGAGTGCGGGGGGAGGAGTCGCAGTGGCGGAAGGAGGCGCGCGGGGAGGGGTCCCGGTAGGCGAGGGAGCGCGCACTGGATGGGCTTGGCCTCCTCGCCACCCAGTCGTCCCTCTGATGGGGGCGAGGGAGGATGAAAGTGAGGCGCATGGGTGGAGGAAGTGGCGGGGAGAGGAAGAGTGGTTAGTTTAGAAATTGGAGTGGATATTGTGTAGCACGTGCATCCTCGTGAGCACTGTGAGAAACTGCAGAACCCGCAAGACTGCATGCTCAACCATTCCTACTCATTGCCACACCACACCCACTCATACCATTACGCACCTGCTAGGGGTCCTCGCTTTCCAGCATGTGCACGATCTGTGGCATCATTGTCGCTCTAGCTCCACGCATCGCAGCGCCACTCCCGGCGTGCACTGCACCCACACCCACTCATTACCACTCTACACCCATTCGTACCTGCTTGGGGTCCTCGCTCTCCAGCATGTGCACGATCTGCGGCATCTTGGGGCGCTTGAGGGCATTCGGCTCAACGCATCGCAGTGCCACTCCCAATGCGTACTCCACGTCGTCTGCCTGCACTGTGCCCTGCAGCCGCGGATCTAAGACTTCTAAAAGGCGCTCCTCTACTGCCTTGGCCCGCACCCACCGCACCAAGTCAACCTGCAAGGAAGAGAGAGGGTTGAGGGGGGGGATGTGAGAGTAAGGGAGGAGGAGGAGGGGCATACTCCACGTCGTCTGCCTGCACTGTGCCCTGCAGCTGCGGGTCCAAGACCTCTAGCAGGCGCTCCTCTGCTGCCTTGGCGCGCACCCACCGCACCAAGTCCACCTGATACGGAGTGCAGGGAGGGAGTGAGCGAGTGAGTGGGTGAGAGAGCGAGTGCGGGAGGGAGAGGAGGAAGAGGGCCATAGTCCACGTCGTCTGAATGTGGCCAGCTCTGCAGGTGCGCATCTAGGATCCCTAGCAGCTGCTCCTCTGCTGCCCTGGCGCGCACCCTACTCCCCCAACTCGATGAAATCAAGAATGGTGAGAAAAGAGCAATGGAGGAAGGGAGAGGAGGTAAGGGAGGGCAAGTAAGGGAGGGGAATGAGTGAAGAAGCAACTCTAGCGGCAACTCAGAGGTTGCACGTGTGCATGCACCACACCCAAAAGCTCACCCTTTCTGGAACTGCTTCTTACCCCTAGGCCTTGTGCCCCACTTGTGTTTCTGCACGCAATAATTCTGTTCTCAGCTCAAACCGCTCACACCACATGTGCACGCATTGCATTGCGTACCCGATTTGACGGTGCTGCTTCATGGTCCATCATTATCTGATCACACGCTGGTTCCCCCTGCACACGCTGATTCCCACGTCAGCTCACATGCAGCATCACGCGTGCAGGTGTTTTAAGCCTACCTGGTGCGAGGGTGCTTCATTCCTCATGCCCCGCCTCCTGCTTGTGCATTCCTGCACACGTTCTGAGATGAGTTCCAGCAACAACTGTCCAAAGCTCTATACACATGCGTATGCATGGCATCCCCAAGCCCACCTGGTCGGAAGGAGCCTCGTTGTCAATAGGCGGGCGGCCGGAGATGAGTTCGAGCAGCAGCACGCCGAAGCTGTACACGTCACTGCGCTCCGTGAGCAGCCCCGTGTTCATGTACTCTGGCGCCACGTAGCTGTAGTGGGAATGATAAGAAAAGGTAGATATGGGAGAAAGGGGAAGGTGTTTTTTAGTGCTTGAGTGACCTCGCTCTGTGAGCAGCCCCGTGTTCATGTACTCTGGCGCCACGTAGCTGTGGGGGGTAGAGAGGAGGTAGGGGGGTAGAGGGGGAGGGGGGGAAGTCACTCTGCGCCACGTAGCCTTATGAATGGACCTCTCTCCGTGAGCAGCCCTGTGTTCATGTACTCGGCGCCACGTAGCTGCATGAGGAGTGAGTAGGGAAGGTAGAGATGGGGGAAGGAGGAAGGTGTTTTTCAGTGCTTAAGTAATAGACCTCGCTCTGTGAGCAGCCCTGTGTTCATGTACTCGGCGCCACGTAGCTGCAGTGGTAAGGGCATTCATTACAAGCCAGGCGAGTTGATCCGTCAGCAGCCCCTGTGTTTATGTACTTTGAGCTGAGTCACATGCTAGCACTCACATAGCAGCAATCACATGCTCAACGTCATAATTCTGATGGCAACTCACCCAAACGTGCCCATGAATCGACTGCCCACGTGCCCCTGGTCCCTCCCCATGGCCATGGCAAGTCCCAAGTCCCCCAGCTTGGTACTCCCAGCAAGCAAGCCCTCCCATGCCAAACCAATCAAGCCTTCCCATGCCATTCTAGCACTCTATGCTATATCAAGGCAGGACAGCACTCCATGCCAAATCAAGTCAACTCACCCGAACGTGCCCATGACTCGCGTGCCCACGTGCCCTTGGTCGCGCCCCATGGCCTTGGCGAGCGCAAAGTCGCCCAGCTTGGCGCTCCACTGCGCGTCCAGCAGCACGTTCGACGCCTTCACGTCCCGGTGCACCACCTTCACTGCCATGCCTCCGTGCAGGTGGGCGAGTCTGCGGAGGGGAGAGATGGGGAGGGATGGAGGGACATGGAGAGAATATGATTCCAGCAGCTCGTTTCTGGCCTTCACCTCGCGATGCACCACCTCCACTGCCATGCTGCCATGCAGGTGGGCGAGAGTGGAGAGGGGAGGGATGGGACGGATAGGAAGAGATGGGGAGGGATAGGGAAAAGAGGAGAGAGAGGACAACGAACGGCTCTTGTATAACGGGAGGTGGTTCAAGAAGAGAGGCGAGCGACATGCATGCACATGGGTGAGAGAGGCGTATCAAGAGTGCCAGCCGAGGCTACCAGGGGCCCATGCAGACTTGGGATCGTCTCACCGCAACAATCATACGAGGCACGACACTCACCCTTTGGCCACGTGCATGCGTATGCAGCAAGCACGGGGGTGAGAAGAGAGAAGATGGAGGGAAACACGTACCCTTTGGCACACCCGATGGCGACGTGCATGCGCATGGGCCAGTCCAGTGTATCAGCAGACCCCCCAGCAGCGGTCTGGTAGAGCCACGCGTCCAGCGACCCGTTGGGCAGATACTCGTACACCAGCATGCGCTCCTCGCCCTCCACACAGCACCCCAGCACTGCGGCTAGGTTCGGGTGCTTGGCCTGGGCCAGTGAGTCAACTTCGAACTTGAACTCGCGAGGTGACTGCTCCAGACTGGGGGAAGCGAGAAGAGGGGGGGAAGAGGGGGGATAGTAGAGGACCGAGATGAGAGGGGAGTTCAAGGTGGGGAAGGGGTTGGGCAGGTACTCGTGCACGAGCATGCGCTCATCGGCCTCCACACAGCACCCCAACACCGCCGCCAGGTTGGGGTGCTTGGCCTGGGATAGCGAGTCGACCTCGAACTTGAACTCGCGAGGTGATTGCTCCAGACTGGGGGAAGGGAGGAGGGGAGTGGAGATGGATAGCAAAAGGAGAGAGGGTATGAGGGGGTGATGGTAAGAGGGGAAGATACAGCAGGTGAGGAGAAGCGTACGGCAGGCATGGCTGATGCAGGGATCAACCGTACACTCAACTTCTTGCTGGTTCCGTGCAACTTACTTTCTCTCACTCAGTCGTTTCACAGCCACCGTGGTCCCCTCTGGTAACCGCGCGCGGTAAACAGTGCCGTGCCGCCCGCTGCCCAGCACGCTGCGCTCACTCTGCCGCCCGAAATCGTTCGACGCCAGCGCCAGCTCAGCAACCGTGAAGTACCGCTCCAAACCGTGCCCTGCTGCCTCGTCACCATCTGCTGACGTGTCTGACGTGTCTCCATCCCTCTCACCTCCTTCCAATCCCTCTCCCCTGCCACTGTTTCTGCCAGGGAACGCGCCAGCAGCACCAGCAGGAGCAGCACGCGAGGGCGAGATAGCAGCAGCTGCTGCAGCGACAGTGGCAGCAGACGCGCCGGCCCAGCCCCGGGGAATAGCAGGCGATACTGCTGCTGCCCCTCCTGCTGCTCCTGCTGCTCCTGCTGCTCCTCCTGCTGCTGCCGTTCTAGTGCTGGTCATAGGCTGTTGAACTCTGGGGTAATCGCTATCACTGCTCTCACTCGTGACGCTGCTCTCCTCCTCCTCCTCCCCCCGTTCCCCCTCTGCTGCATGCAGGTCTGTCACTCGCAGCGACCTCCCTGCAGGCCCATACACCCCCACCCGCACGCCAGATGAGCCTGCCCCGATAGCACCACCTGCGCCAGTTACACCTGCCCCGGATCCGCCTGCCCCTGGTGCTCCTGCCCCTGGCCTGCGAGGGCTGTCCCCTAGCACCCCCTTACCCGCTGCTGCAGCGCTGGTAACAGCGGGCGCTGCTGCCACTCCCCTGTACGCCCCGCTCTCCTCCATCTCGATCTCCTCCGTGTCTGAATCCCTCTCACTGCTCGCACCAGACGCAGCGGTGGTAGCAGACACCGCTGCTGCTGACTGCCCCCCAACACGCCCCCTGCTCGCTGCTGCTGCCGCTGCAGCAGATATTGCAGCAGGCGATCCAGCAGGCTTTGCAGGCGACGTGGCAGCAGAAGGTGCAGCAGGCGCAGCACGAGTCACACCGCTGCTGTTGTGGGCGTGAGCGGCGCTGGCACCCATGAGAGATCCCCCTTTACTGGCATCGTCCCACCCTCTGTCTCTACTCACCACTGACGACACCACTGAGTGTGAACCCCCCATACCCTCACTCTCGCTCTCACTCTCACTCTCCTTACCCCTCTCTCTCCCGCCCTCCCTCTCCCTCTCGCCCTCTCTCGCAGCAACCGGGTCAGCCACAGCAGCACGCTGGGCCCTCGGAGCACCCCACCCGCCGAGGGCCTTCACAGGGCTGGGGGTGGTGGCACTGCTGCGCACCACGCTAGCGACGCTCGCACTGCCATAAGCCGTCGCTTTGTCACTCGACTGGGGCAAGTAGGCACTGTCGTAATAGGCAACAGAAGCAGCACCAGAAGCAGCACCAGCAGCACCACCAGCAGCAACACTGCCCCTCTCGCTTCCATCCCTTGACCCATCCTCCTGCCGGCCAAACGACCCGCTCTGCCCCGGCTCCCGAGCCTGCCCCTGAGGCTGCTCCCAAGCCGCTGGTTTCCGGGCCTGCTGCGCAGGTCCGGGCGACCGCTTCGGCGGCGTCCCACCCTGTCGCTCGTTCCTCTCCGATCGTCCGCGCGACGCTTGCCTGGCTGTAGCCGCCACAGCAGCCGCTCCCGCCGCAGCCGCCGCGGCTCCCGCTACAGCCGGTCCTGCTACAGCCGCCGAGCGCGACGCGCCGCCTGTCGGCGAGGCGGCAGCGGGGAACACGGCGCGATCGCGCGAGGACGGCAGACAGCCGTTCATCTCGCCGCCCATCTCGACATCGACGGCCAGGGAGCGCGCTCCCGAGGAGCCGACAGACGCGGCGACGGAGGAGGGCGGCTTGGCGCCGGCACGATTTGTTTGTTTCTGCTTCTTCGCCGCCCAGGCGCCGCCCGCGGCGACGGACAGGGCGGGCTCCTTGAGCCCGTCATTCGCCTGGTGAGGGCGGCAGTCAGCGGGTGGGGGGTAGGGGGCGGGGGGAAGCGGGGGGAAGGGGGGGAAGGGGGGATGAGAAGAGGCGGGGTAAGCGGGTGTTGTGAGCGGGAAGTGCAGGGAAGGCAGAATGGAAGCGGGAAGGGAGTGAAAGAAGGCGGATGAAGAAGGCGGATGAAGAAGGCGGATGAGATGCTGCAGTGGAGCGGGTTGCAGAGGTGTGCATGGGTGATGTGCAACGCACCACGCCACTCTCTGACTTGCTGCACGCTCATTCTGAATGTTTTCGTATCAAGCCCACACACACGCACGTACAACCACAGAATTCATTCCACAACTCACCGCGCCCATGCCGGTCTTGCCCTTGCGGCCGCCCTTGCACCAGCAGCACCACACCACCAGCAGAACCAACAAGTTACAAGCCAACCCCGCAGCTGCGCCTATCGCGATACACACAGGCGTCGAAAAGCTAACATACGACCATATAAGTTATCCCACAACTCACCGCGCCCTTGGCGGTCTTGCCCTTGCGCCGCTCGCCCTTGCAGCAGCAGCACCACACGACCAGCAGCACTGACAAGATACACGCCAGCCCCGCAGCTGCTCCTATCGCGATACACACTGGCGTCGAAAAGCTAACATACGACCATATAAGTTATCCCACAACTCACCGCGCCCTTGGCGGTCTTGCCCTTGCGCCGCTCGCCCTTGCAGCAGCAGCACCACACCACCAGCAGCACTGACAAGATACACGCCAGCCCCGCAGCTGCGCCTATCGCGATATACACAGGCGTCGTTAACCCCCCGCTGCTGCTGCCGCTGCCGCTGCTGCCGCTGCTGTCACTGCTGTTGCTGCTGCTGCTGGTGCCGTCCGCAGCAGCCGCGGTGCTGCCGGTGGAGGGTTGCGGCGACGGCGGCGGAGTCGCCGGCTTGAGCGGGATGAACTCGTCCGCGGGCGAGGCGGACGGGGGGGAGGGGGAAGAGGCATTCCGCGGAAGGGGGGTGGCGGAGTTAGACGGGGCGGGATGTGCGGAGGGGATGGGTATGGTGGGAGTCTTCGGTATGGTGGTGGGGGAGGGGGATACGCCAGGCACTGTGGGGTTGGTGGGCGGCAGTTTGGGGGTGACTGGAAGCCTCGGCTTGGGAGCGACCTTGGGCGTGGGTACAACGGGAAGTCTGGGTGTGGGTGTGACGGGAGTCTTGGGTTTGGGAAGGACGGGGGTTTTCGGTGGCAGCTTCGGCAGCGGGGCCTTGCGCGGGACGTAAGGCGGATCCCCCGGACAGGCCTGCACAGTCACGCAAACAAGGCGGCACGTGAGCACAAGCGGATTCTGACTCTTCTCGCCTCTTGCGACGCTCCTCAAGTGTGTTGCATGCAAGGGACAGCAACGTCCAGTCGATCAGCCGACTCATGCAGCGTCCCCTCCCCCCTAACGCGGCTCACCAAGCGGCCGGCGAATCTAGTACCACAGAACCCCAAGCCGTTGGCGAGGAAGCTGCGCGTTTGAGCCGACAAATAAAAGGATGGCACGGGGCAGTACCAGTTCAGCATCTGATTGGCCCAGCATCCAATAGACTCACAGCTAGGCCGGCGAATCCGGTACCGCAGAAGCCGGCGCCGTTGGCGGAGAAGTTGTAATGGGCGGTGCGGCTGGCGCGCAGGTAGTCGAGCCCCCGGGGCACGCGCCCCGTGAGGCGGTTCTCCGCCAGCGACACGTCCTGCAGCAGCTTCAGATTGCCGACGGCGTCGGGAATCGAACCTGCGAGCTCGTTGTTGTTGAGCTCCAGCACCTTGAGCTGCATGGGCGCACCAGGGCATGGGGGCATTGGGGGCATTGGAGACGTTGGGGCCATTGAGGGCATTGTCGCACGGCATTGTCACAGGGCATTGTCGCAGGGCATTGTCGCAAGGCATTGATACATGGGTGCACTGTTGCGCGGGCTAATGGTGGCAGTGCAGGTCATGTTGCATGGTGAAGGAGTCATAAGCTGGCCACATGGGAGATTGGACCCAACAGAAAATAAGGAGGGCGGGTATTTTAGTCGACCCAACAGGACAAGGAAAAGGGGGGGGAAGAAGGGCGTGCCTTGGTGAGGAGGCCGAGGGAGGCGGGAATGGCGTCGCCGAGCTGGTTGCGGCTGAGGTCTAACGAGAAGAGGCTCGTCACCAGATTCAGCTCCGGGATTCGCCCGCCCAGCCGGTTGCTGCACAGGTTGAGCACCTGCGAGAATAGCACACACGACGGAATCCGTCAGAACAGTGAGTCTCGTTCATGTTCAAAAAGCCCGCGTTCACGTTAATTGAGGTGTTTGAAAAGGCGAGGACATTTGGGTCTATAGATAATGCCGATCGTGTCTGAAAGAAATCGAGACGCCTCAAAGCTCGACATTACGATGTCTCAAAGGGCAAGGGGATTCGCACCTGGAGGCTGAGGATGTTGTTGATGCTGTCGGGGATGACTCCGCTGAGCGCGTTCCGTCCCAGGTCGAGAGACGTGAGCGTCGCGATCTGATTGATCTCCACGGGAATCTCGCCCGCCAGGCCCAGGCCGTTCAGATGCAGCGCCACCGGCTGGTGGTGGCCGTCGCACGTGACTCCCTGCGCGGAATAGAGTGATCATATTGAAGAGCAGATGACACTATTGAGAATACAGCGGTTCACAATGCGGTGGAAGTCGGTGCAGGTGGGTGTTAACAGAGACGGTAAATTGTAGGTGACAGCAGCCGACGCAACAGGAACGTTCACTATCGACAGTTTTCCATGCAATGACAACCGGTAACTCGCTTCCACGAAGCTTCACGCACTTGAAAGGGAGGGCTTCCGCAAGGGTTGCCATTGGTCCGCCATGAGCTGAGTTTCTGCTCGCCGGGGTCCAGCTTCGCCGCTATGCTGCTCCAATCCGTCGCCACGGCGTGCGTTGCTAACCCCAATACGACTAACGCGAGCAAGTACGAGTGTATTACTTTCTGCATCCCCATTCTAAGTTTCAACGGTCCGAATTCTGTCATTGTGAAGTTGCAACGCTGCTGAGCCTTTGATAGAGATGGAGAAAAAAGTAGTTCTGAAAAGAACCCTGTATTAATTGACTGCAAGAGAGAAGGAGAAAGGCCTCCTCCAGCACCTACGCCGCTCGTCCCCTAAGCCATGGCGATGCTGTTGACGATTTTTAGAAATAATTAAGATTTCACGTGCTAGAGAATCAAGCTTCCTAGTACCGGGTACTCTGCTCCGATATATTCACGGTTTCCTCTACTAATCTTCACGGCAGCACTAGGAAACATTCCATGTATCTGCTCCTCGCCCACTTGCACCACTCAACTTGTCCGTCTGTATACCAGCGCCCAGTCAACTATTCGCTAGTCCTCCGCCTCCTTCCCCTGCACCCAGAAATGGTTTTCAAACGCCTGTACGTAATCGGTCAATTCCTGCTTGGGAATGCATATATGAAGCCTATGACCAGCGGCGTCTATGTCATGACCGGATTGACGACTTCCGTTGGTTCCTCGGAGTCGTGATAAAACCGAGAACGTCAGGGGCGGCGGTGACGGGTACGACTCACTGCTCTGGCAACTGCTGATTGGCTTACCCAGCGCAATCAAGGGGTGAGATAGGGGCATACACAGGGTTTTAATACGGTTCAGTCTGGTGTTAGCAATAAGGGCTGTGCTCTGCGGCGACCAACTTACAACTCCTCCCAATGTCTACGGCCAGACAGGGAGGCCCGTTGGGTTCACGGAGAAATGGGAAAAAATTCTCCGAATCGCACATGTCTGGGAGAGACATCCCCGTCGCAGGATGTCAACGAGGCTCGCCAGATGCTGTGGTTTCTTCGTCAACAGGCAGCGCGGTGATCGCGAAAGCTGACTGTCAAAGCGCTTGTGGCAGAGGGGGCCAAATAATCGGGGGCGGGGGAAATGTCCCGCACGATGAAATCAAGGTGAGGACAGACAGGTCTGTGCGATTCGGAGAGTTGCCGTTGAATATCCATTTTAAGGCCCGTCGAGAGTATTACAACACCCATCCAGTTTCTGCCAACTACTCCAAATCTCCAATATCAGTACGATCTCAGCAATAAAACCGTAAATATAGTATAGTGAAACTACAACCTAATCTACGAAACACAATACACGAATTACTACCTTATATAATATCTGGATATTTTCCACCAATAGACCCTGCATAGGTATGAGAATGCACAAGAAATTGTTTCTAGAAAAGGAAGAATCATAGCTTCAATGTATTGCATATCGACTCATTCAATAAGGCCCCCGCAGTTCCTCAACCCCTGGCGTCTCCACAGCACAGCTCCTGCCGTCGGAAAGCATGAACAATCCTTGCATTTCGCCTGAACTCATGAACTAGTCGAATCTTCATCATCACATTCTAGGTGCCGTCGTCGCTGTTGCTTCTTGACAGCCATTTCGCCAACATGCCGCTCCCGCTGCAGCAGCATGAAAGGCAGCAGCGCGCCGCGGAGCAGGTTTTGGACCGGCGATTACGACCAGTGTACGACATGGTCGACTCGCGGAACCTGAAAGGCGCATTGAAGCTCGTTAATGCTCTTGTTCAGAAAGCGGGAAGTGACCAGGCTCCGATTAAGGTGCGCGGCTAATAGTTACCAGATTCAGGTGACTACTACTAATCTAACGAGAGTATAATGCGACTTTAAGCGCATGCTACCAGTTGGCGTCGCTACTTGAGCAGCGTGGTAGCAAGAAGCGACGCGGGACAGCCTGCCGTGAAGCTGCTACTGCTCGTGTGCTACCAGTCTTGATCCTTGAGTAGCAACGAATCCACAGCTATGAGTAGATCCTCGACGCACGTTGTTCATGGCGATAGTCGCGCTTCGCCAATCCTATCAGAAGAGCGCATTAGCGTTCGCCGGATTGTTTTCCCTTGCCAGACGGCTGCATTGGACGTTTGATCGGCTTTGATCGGCGGAATGCGGTGCTCGTGATAGTGAGTGGTCGTGGTTTCGGATCTTGAGCAATCCGGTAGTCTGATCCGAAGGAATGCCGAGGCTTATTTCTTAGAAACGAGGCTGCGGAAGTGAAAGGCAAAGGTCGGTCAACCTGCGAACAGATGATAAAACCCGAAACCCCCTCCCTCTTTTCAATTCCCCCTCGCTTCCCTCCTCCCTCCCCTTCCCCTCTATCCTCCCCAAATCCAACTTCAAACCCCCCCCCCCCCTTCCTCCTTCCCCCATTCCCCACACACACCCCCACCACCGCCCCCCCCCCCACACCCCCCCTCTCCTCCCCTCCCCCCTCAGCTGGTAGGCGCTGGTGCTGTACCGCATGGGGCGGGAGGGCGAGGCGCAGGAGTCGTGAGCTTGGTCAGCCTGCCAGCCGACGCTACCCTTATGGAACCTTCTTTATCTCCTTCGTCTTTTCCCGCCTACCCTTCCCTTAACCCCCGCGCAGCTGGTGAAGGCGCTGGTGCTGTACCGCATGGGGCGGGAGGGGGAGGCGCTGGAGGTGTGCGCGGAGGTGCGGGAGGAGGGGCGCGCGGGGCAGCTCTCAGAGCGCACGCTCATGGACCTCATGGACCTCCTGGCGAGAATGGGCAAAGGTGCGCTGGGCGGCATGCTCTGTCCTTTATTTTGCAGCTACTATTCATGTGGTAGTCAAACGGGGGACCTGACTGTGAGAGCGGACGCTCATGAACCTCCCTTTGCCTTCCCCTCTCTCATTCCCCCCTCCCTCCCTCCACCCACCCGCTTGCGACCCTCTCTCCCTCTCTTGCAGCGCACGAGGCATCAGCGGCGTTTGAGGCAGCGGCAGCGCGGCAGGCAGACAGCATGGAGGTCCCGGGGCTGCTGCTGTGGTGTGGGCGGCGCTGAAGATTGACCGTGTACACGTGTCCTCCCCCTCCTCAATCCCCCCTCTTCCTACTCCCCTATCGCAGCCCACGAGGCAGTGGACGCGTTTGAGGCAGCAGCAGCGCAGCAGGCAGACAACATGAAGCTGCAGGAGCTGCTGGTGGGGGCGGCACTGAAGAGCCGAGGCTACGTGAAGATGCAGCAGGCTGCCATGCGCATGCACAAGAAGAGGCCAAAAGATGACAAATACCTTCTATGGGCCGTCTGTAGCATGGACCTGCAGGTGCGTGGCTGTCCCGGCTGTAGCATGCTGCCGTGGCTGCAGCAAGCCACCATGCGCCTGCACAAGAAGAGGCTGCAACATGACAGATACCTGCTCTGGGCCGGCTGTAGCATGGACCTGCAGGTGGGTGCATGGTTGTCCCGGCTGTAGCGTGGACCTGAAGGCCTGTGGCTGTTTCGGCTGTAGCATGGACCCGCAGGTAAGTTGATAATCTGTCATTTCCTGTCTCCCTCTCCTCTCGCCACTTTCCTCCCCTCTCCTCCCTCCTTCAGCACCCCTTGAGCGGTCGTTGTATTGATGAAGCAATGGTACAAGCAATGCGTGGGCACCCGTCTCTCTCTTTTTAGCCCCTCACCTGTCTCTCTTGCCACACTCTCACGGTTCATTCCTCATTTCCTCCCACCCTCTCTCTCAAATGGTCCTTTGTATTTATTCAGCAGGGGGTACAGACATGCAGTGTGACTCGTGGTTCCCTTAGACCTTCCGACCCATTTAACCCCTCCCTCTGACCCTCTCCTCCCCCCCCCTTAGTGCCCCTCTACCCCTCCAGCGTGTGGAGGATGTCCCCTAGGTGCAGCGGCCATGGGTCTGCTGCCATTTGGGGGTGCGCTGCCTCAATCCCAGCCCTGGCCTTGGTGTGCAGGGCATTCGCCTGGGAGCGCTGGAGGGCCACTGACCAGCGTTAGCTGAAGTGGCAGGCCATCTTCTTGGCCGATTTGGCCAAGGGGTTGGCCCTGAACCTGTTCCTAGCCGCTGCTGTGGCCAGCAGCTTAAGGAATGCTGTCGTGGGGGGCGCGTTTGCCCCGTAGGTCTCGACGGCCAGGGCGCAGAACACCACGTGTTCGGTGTGCCTGTAGTAGTCCCTCTCCTTCCGCCTCTGTGCCTCCCTTGCAGCCCAGCCTGGGGGTTTGCGGGCTGTCGGGTCTCGGTTCTGCAGCACAGGGTCAGTGATAGTAGTGTCTGTGATCCAAGTCTCTCCACTGTCCGGGTCGCGTACAATCACATCTGCCTTTTTCGGGTCATCCGGTGGTGAGTACATTGCATTCTCCAGGTATACCACCAGCTGCGCCTCCCTCGCCATTTTAGCCACGGCGAAGGCCAGCTGGTTGTCTGTGCGCGTTCTGTCCGGACCTGTGCTGCAGCGGAGTAAGTGGTTGGGTAGGCTGCAGTCGGCCACGAGCTCTCCACACTCGCACACGGTAGGTACATTCTGTCGGATGCCCATGCGGAAGGCCAGGGCTGTTCGGAATTGCCCTGGTGAGAAGCAGAGGTCTGGTGTCAGGGGTAGGGCTTGCAGCCACGCTCCCGCTCCCTCGCCTCTCAGGCTGACGAGGCGGAGCGTGTGGCCCATCTCGGGGGCTGACCTGATTGAGCGTGATTCCTCTGTCAGGGCGTCGGCCTTTGCCGCGTGCACCTCCTGAGAGAGGGCGCGCTGAAGCTGGTCTTGGGACGGGGTGTCTTGCTCCTCGCGGAGGTGTTGCAGCGCCAACGGCGGCAGCCGTCCCTCCATATCTTGAATGGTGACCGAGTGTGCTGCAGACGGCTGCAGGGCGTTGCTGTTGCTCCCCAGCGCCGCGGTTGCTGGTAGGTCAAGTGAGCGGAGTAGGCGTAGCGCCTCTGTTGTTGAGGCCAGGTAGGCCGGAGCTGCTTCTGTTGTGGGGTCCGTGAGGCCCAGTCCGCCTAGGGCTACTGGGAGGGTTGCTTGGCGGATGAGGAAATTGAACTCGGCTTCGCGGCGGGGTGGTTGAATGCTGGCGGCAGTCAAGGCGGTGTTGAGCAGTTCCGCGCACCACGCGTGCCATTCCGAGAGGGGTAGGACATCTGCTGGGGTGGTGCGTAGCAGGTAGCCGATTCTGCGGCTGATGCAGCGGGACAATAGCAGGAGGGCATGCTGTGGATGGATGGATGCTAGGGAGCCTAGGGGTGCCGCCGCGTCTGTCAGAGTGCTGCGGACTAGGTCAGAGCAGAAGCGTTGTGACCCCACAGGGCTTCCCAGTACCCGTACCCCCTCGTGGGTCAGGGGGAGGCCCTCTGGGAGCTCGTCGCCTTCAAGTGGCGTCGTGGACCACGCCGACGACTTTCTGAGGTTGCAGGTGAGTCCATCCTGGGCTAGCAGCGGCGTCAGCAACCTTAGCGCGCCGAGCGTTGCTGTCGCCGGTCCGATCATGGTGATGTCATCTGCGTACGCTAGGATCGTGACTTCTGGGTGTTCTGCTGCTGTGCGTCTGAGGTGCTGCTGGATTGATGCCGCGAACAGCAGGGGTCCGAGGGGGTCCCCCTGCCTAACTCCCCTTCCGCTGGTGAGTGCCGTTGTGCTCAAGCGTGGATCGGTCAGCAGCTGTGAAGGCGATGCGTAGAAGGAGCGGGTGAAAGGTATGAGCGGTGCTAACGGGGTGTTGGTGAGTGCGTTGAAGAACGCTTTCCTCTCTACGGAGTTGAAAGCGTTTTCAATGTCGAGTTGGAGGACTAGGCTGGAGGGTTGTGAAGTGGTGAGGTCTCTGACGGCGTGTATAACGAACTCGGCTCCGCCTGGGACTGCCACGCCGAATTGCTGGGGTAAGAAAAATCGCCTTGTTTCTCCTTGCAGTTCCGAAAGTGCCACCTTTGCTGCTAGCCGAAGCAGGGACTCCCCTATCGCGATAGGGCGTACCCCCCCCCCTGGTTTCGCGAAGGCGATGAGGCGGGATGGCGAGAGTAGTGCCGCAACCTCGGTGGAGAGATTCGTCGAGAGAAGGTGTGTTACGGCGGAGTGCAGGTGCCCCAGCACTTCGATGTTACTTAGGGCTGGGTCGCGGTAGTGTTCAAATGTTGACCCTGATGGACCAGCCCCAACTCCGCTGGGGCATTCCCCAAGGACGTCTGAAAAGCGTTCCGCGGTGCACGAGAATTGCGTGGGTGTTGTGTAGTTGTGGACCCAGTCGGGCAGCTCAATTTGGGGTTGGGGGTGTTTCAATTCCAACTGCTGCAATGTTGCGATCGTCGCAGGGGCAGCTGGCGAGGGTTGAAGGGCTGCCAACGCTTTTCGCAGGTTACCTCGTTTCACCAACCCCTCCACACGTGAGCAGATTCCCAGGGGGTCATTTTGGTGCTGAGGTGGCTCAGCTTGGTGCAGAGACCCCACGTAGTCACTGTACAGCTGGTTCCAGTGGCCACATCTGAATAGGTGCATCTGTTCTCGTAGCACCTTCCACCTAGAGCTGGACCTCCTGCTAAGTCGTAAGGTGAGACGTGGCAGGAACATGAGGACCCGCCACGCTCCCGCGCAGTTTGGCAGCTTAGAGATCCGTAAGAGGGCGGCCAGCATACAGGTGGAGTAGTCGCTTAGTATCTGCGGCGGCAGGCGGTGGACGATAGGCAGGTGAGTGGTCGCCGTTAGGGTTGAAAGGTCCCAGCTCATCGTGATCTCAAAGAGATCCTCCCTCGATGCCAGCTGGGACGCTGACAGGGCTTGGTCTGGAGGGGGTTGGGGTCTGCGGTTCTGTCGGCGGCTAGAACCTCTCTCCTGCTGCTGCGCCTGCTCCTCCCCCGCTTCCGCGAGAGGTGAGTCGGGGTTGTCAGGTTGCCTCAGATCTGACGGTACATATTCGTCGTCGCTCCCCTCTGCGTTTGTATCACCGATTCTTACTGCCTGCGCTGTCGTTCCTCCTCTCCCCCCGCGTCTAGCGAAGGACTGGCGCGTGACTCTCTCCGCCGGCTCCCCCAACCAGATTGGGCTCGGTAGTTGGTGCGGATTCCCCCTCGCCGCTTGCCCTGCACTCCGCTGACCTCCGCGCGCTCCTCGACGCCCGCCTCTCCCCCGCGTGCTTCCCCGTCCGCTCCTCGGAGTGGCTGCCACAGGTGCCGCTTGTTGCGCCTGGGAGATCGGCGTCGTCGGCTCCTCTTGTGCCAGTGGAGCGCCCTGGGCGCTAGCCAATGGATTTCCTTGGCGCTCTGGGCCGTGACTGCACCGCGGAGAGCGATCCTGCTCCCCGTCCGCTTCCCCCTGCGCGCCCAGCTGCGAGCGTGCCTGTTGCTCCGCCGGCGTCCGCTGATCAGATTCGCCGCCGCTTCGAGGATCAGCGGCGCGAGTTGGCTCCGCGCGGGCGCAGGTCCTCGTCACCGCGGGAGCCCCTGCGCGCGGTGTCCGTCGTGCGCTCCGGCGCAGAGGCTGTGGCGCACCCGGAGCGTTCGCCTCGCCGTCGTTCATCGGCAGCTCGCGACGATAAGCGGGAGAGCCGCCGCGACGATCGTCACGGTGTGGCTCGTTCGCCGCGGTCGCCTCGTTTGCCGCGGTCGCCTCGTTCGCCTCGTCGCGCGGCATCGCGGAGCCGGTCCCGTGACCGCCGCTCGCATCGTCATCGTTCGCCCGCTCACCGTTCATCTCGTCAGCGATCGCCCGCCCGCCAGACATCTGGCCGTCGCCCCCCTGCTCCGCGTTCGCCCCCTCCTGCAAAGCGCCAGCGGCTCTGCTCTCCTCGTCGCGGGGACCGTTCCCCGGGCCGCCAGCATCAGCAAGGCCCATCTCGCCTGCAGTCGCCAGCGCGCTCGAACGCAAGTGGGCGTGCGCGTCGTGGGCGACGGGGAGGTTATGGTCGCGGCGGAAACGCGCGTCCAGCGCCGTCCGCAGCGGAGCGCCGACTTCTGGATAGGCTTGATGACGTGGAGAAGGAGCTTCGTCGCTCGCGTGCGGGTTCGGCGTCACCATCAGCTCCTCGCGCTGTTCCCGTCGTCCCTCTCTCCGCGCTCCTGCCCCACAATCCTTTTGGATCCCCGGCGCGCTCAGAGCGGCCGCTGCCTGCGGGGATGGGCTTCGTTGGCGCTGGTGGCGGGCCGCCGTGGGCTCAGTTTGCTCCGCCGTATCCTCTTCCAGCTCCGCGCGATCTCGCCGTGTCATCTCACCGTGCCCGCACGTCTGCGTTTCCTCCGCCGATGAAGAAAGTTCCCATGGCGACCCTGGCCCGCCTATGGTCGCTGGCGGCGTCCCTGCAGAGCCTTGAGCGGATTCTCCAGGAGTCATATGACTCCATGCCGGTGAGCCCTCCGAGCAGGTTCTCTCAGAAACCGCGAGCTGATTGTCATGCGGCGGCGTCAGCGCTATTCGCGCTCGTAACGCCACTGCAGGTAGAGCCCTCGCCGGGAGCAACCTCGGCCAGCCAGCTGGCTGACTCGGCCCTGGCTCTGAGGACGCTTGTAGCAGGTCCTGGTACTCCCGTTGACGTTGTAGGCGCCACCGTGTTAGTGGTCCGCCAGTTGTGGTTGAACATGAGCGGAATGCTCGCTGCGGTAGACGCGGACCGCATGTAGGCGCTCCCCCCTTGCGCGTGTAGACCCGTTCCATCGTCGTCTTGCTAAGTGCTGTTGCTTGCCTTGCTTGTATCGCTTGTCTAAATTACTACTGCTTGTTGTTCCCCCTTGCCATCCCTTACGCGCGGCCGAAGGCCGCGCACGCGCGGCCGCCGGCGCGAAGCGCCGAAATTTTCAGCACTAACTGAAAGAATGAGAGAAGGAGAGGCCGCCGTGGCCTTAAGTACTCATGGCAGAGGGCAGAAAGCAGAGGGTAGAGGGTAGAAGGGGAGAGGCTAATCCTCTCTCTCTCTCTCTCTCTCTCACCTCAACCTTTTCTCTTCTCCCCCTCTCTCGCCTCACCCCTTTCTCTTCCCACTCCCCTCTCTTTCTCACGCCCCTTCAGGCCTTCGAGAAAGAGAGCCACACAGTTTGCCACATTCCGCCATCCATCTCCTCCTTCCACCTGCCACCTCCAGCTGCCGCCACGTCAGCAACAGGTGCCACGTCAGCGCCTACCGCGTCCGTGTCAGCTGCTGACGTGGCAAAGCAGCGGCGGCAGCTTCTCCAGTTGGCAGAGGCGATGATTCAGAGGAAAGCACAGAGTGAAGGAGGGCTGAATTCGGCTGAAGGTGAGAAGGCAGACAGACGGCGGTTCTTAGATATTTTGGGCTAAGGCAACGCAACGTACATTGCACGACTGCTGTAGCTGCTACATCCGGCAGACTCACTGGTGGATTCACTGAGGATAGCACAACGCGATGGCTGAAGCTCTGGCAGGGCAACTCGTGGAGCGCCTGAGAACGCGCCTCTTCTCCCGTTCCCCCTTACCTTACACAGCACTTGGGGTTTATGTGGATCGATTGAGTCGATCGGGGAAATATGGGGAGGTGGTGTGGTGAGGATGCTGCAAGGCCTGAAAAGGCGGCTTATAAAGTGCCTCAAAATTCCGAGGCACATCAAAGTGCACCGTGTTCCCTCCTCTCTGCTCCTCGGCACCTCGCCTGTACGTGGATTCACTGAGGCGGCAGGGCAAAGGGGAGGAGGAGGTGGTGCGGGTGCTGCAAGGCGGAGCAGGGCTTTTGTAGTGAAGCCTGTTTTATCAAATTGCACCTCTTTCCCCTCCTGCGCCCCCTCTCCTCCCCCCACCCCTCAGCGCTTCGGCTCTATGTGGATTTGTTGAGGCGGCAAGGCAAGGGGGAGGAGGTGGTGAGGGTGCTGCAGGGCCCCATGGCCGCCCTCTTCACAATCAAATCAGATCTGCTGCAGATCCGGGTGGGTGCTGATTGATTGGCGCCTATCTGGGCGGGTGGTTGCTCTGTGTGCCCCACTGGTCAGTAGGTAGACATACCTGGCTGACAGTGCATAGTTTCATGTTAAGTGTAGAGGGCTCAGGTGTTTTCGTTCTTATGTTGTCTATTCGTACCCCACGCACACCCACGCACACCCACTCACACCACTCACATCCACCCACACGCACTCACCCTCACACTCACCCAATCCGCACACGCAGTGAAACCCATGCACGCGACACTTGCACGCCCACACTCACTCCCAACCACATCCATGCACGTGCGCGGTTCTCACCCCTCACAGGGCGAGGTGCAGCAGGACTTGGCGCGCTTCACTGATGCTGCTGCCACGTTCATGGAGCTGCTGGGCGTGAGGTGAGCGAGTGAGGGAGGTGAGAGTGAAGGAATGAGACAAGGGGAGGAGAATCCAAAAAAGAATCATCACCTTGCTAACTCTCCCTTCTCATCCCTTTTCATCTCGTTTTTAAGATTCCTGTCTTCTTATTCCTACATGCTGTATCCAACCCTTCTCCACTCCTCTGTTTCCGCTGCCGCCCATGCATGCAGTGATGATGACTGGGTGGCATCCTTGTCCTTTCTGGACTCACTCATGCTAGCCCACCTGCAGTCGTCGCTCTCCACTCCTCTCTCTGAAGCTGTAGCAGCAGTCACTGCTGACGCCGCTACAGCTGCTTCTGCTGTTGCTACAGCCCAAGCTACAGCCCCTGCTACAGCTGGCGGCAAACCTGCAGCTGCTGCCTCGCACACGAGCTCTAGTTCGGGAGGAGGTTCGGGAGGAGGTTCGGCGGAGGGTGGGAGGGAGGGGGCGACAAGGGAGAGCCGGCTGATGCAGGGGCTGCTGCTGCGGATGCTGCAGGGGGGAGGGGCTTGGGGGGAGGGGGGAGAGGGCGGAGGTGGGGGAGATGGCTGTGGGGGGAGTGAGGGAGGGGTGGAGGGGGGCGAGTGGGAGAGTGTGTGTGCGGTGGGGGCAGCAGCAACGGCCCTGGATGTGGCTTGTAGGGCGCCGGGGAGCAAGCGCATTCAGGAGGAGGTGAGGGGGGCAGCAGCCATTTGGAGACTAGCATGGGGTGGTTTGGGAGGGGCACACATGGGGTGGGGTGGGGCATGGGTTGGGGAGGGGCACAGGGTGTGCAGTGCAGCATGGGTTGGGTGGGACGTATGGCTTGCAGGCACCAAGGAGCAAGCGCATTCAGGAGGAGGTTAGCCGGCTGGGGTAAGCTGTGGGGCGTGGGACACGGGGTTGGGTAAGTATGAACACTCTATCAACCCCACCAAGCCTCACCAGCTCGTCCACATTGTCTCCGTATCTCCTGATCTGATCGGTTCTTCCTGGGCTTAAGGGCAGCCCGCCTCCCCTCCTCCCTCCCGCCCCTCTCCCCTCCTCCCCAGCGCTCTTCCTCTTTCCATCTGTTCATCTAGCCTTCACCACTCCCCCGTCAGCTCTTTCAAGTTCACTCTGTAGCTGACCGGTTGTTCCAGGGCTTAAGATATTCCCTGCCTCCTCTCCACCCCCTTCCCCCTCTCCACCCCCTGCCTCCTCTCCACCCCCTTCCCCCTCTCCAACCCTCCCCTCGTGGACCCTAACGTCCACCCTTGCTCCATCAGCTCTTCCGTATTCTATTCCCGAAACGTTTAAAGAATCCTTGTCTTAATTCTTTCCAAATCCGATCGTTTCTGCAGGGTCTCAGGGACAGCCTCCCAACATCCCTCCCGCCCGATTTCTCACCTCACTAGCTCTCTCCCAGCCATCATGATCCCTCTCTGTATCCTGCTCCACCCCCCCACCAGCTCTTCCGGATTCTCTCAGAAGCCGACCGCTACTTCCAGGGCCTCAGAGATAGCCTCCTGGCACAGCACTCAGCGCACCAGCGCCTCTCGGGCAGCGGGCAGCCGGAAATGAAAAAAGTGGAGGAGGGCAGCGAGCTGGACGGGGCCGAAGGGGCACCAGCAGGGGCAGAGGATCCAAGTAATGCCAGCAACGGCAGCAGCAGCAATGCACCAGCGGTGAAAGCGGCAGCAAGCAGCAAGGGCGCGCGCGTGGCGAGGGGACCGTTTCTGATGCGCCTGGAGGTGCTGCTGAGGCGCATGCGCCTGCTGCAGTGGTTCGGGTGCGGCCCGGGGGAGGTGCTATCTGCTGCTGCCGACCTGGAGAGTGCTTTAGTGGCTTACTTTGACAGGTGAGTGGCCTGATTTGTAACTATCTGGGGGAGGTGCGATCTGCCGCTGCCCACCTGGAGAGCGCTCTGTTGGGCTACTTCGACAGGTGGGTGGCCTGCAATGTAATTATCTGGGGGAGGTGCTGTCTGCTGCTACCGACCTGGAGAGTGCCCTGCAGGGCTACTTGGGTAGGTGGGTGGTGTGCAGTGCGGTCCATGAGTGGTTTGATATCTGAATAGGTGTGTATGCGTGGCGCAAACAAAGTGGTGCAGCTCAGGGGAGGCGTTACCTGTTGCTTGCTGCCCACCAGGGGAGGTGTTCACTGCTTTACTCCCAAACTCACTCTCATTCTCTCGAGAACCCTCTCGTCCTCCCATTTGAGGTGCCCCAACAGTCCTCCCATTCTCACCTTTGCCCGAATTTTACCTCCTTATCCTCCGCCCTCCCTCCCACCCTCCCTTTTACTTTCCCCCCTTCCCCCGACCCTCCATCTCAGGCACGGCGACATGATCAGCTTTGCCTCGGACGTGCAAGCCTACGCCCTGGCCCTGCCCAAGGACGTCCGGGCTAGGCTCGGGGCCGAGCTCCGAAGCAAGCTGACAGGCTTGGAACCACTTGGTGTGGGAGAGGGAGGAATTGGAACGGGAGAGAGCAGGGCGGAGCAGAGGGAGGAGGGAGGGAAGGAGGGGAGGAGAGAAGAGGGGGAGAAGGAGGGCGGAAAGGAGGAGAGTGAGAGTGAGAGGAGGGAGGGGGAGGCGACGAGGGAGATGAGGAGGGTGCTGCGGAGGATAATAAGTGTGGAGCAGGTGGATGGGGCCATGGGCAACTGGCGGAGCCTTGATGACCATGGTGAGTGCATGAGGGCATGAGGGCATGTGGGGCATGTGGGGCATGTGGGGCATGTGGAGCATGATGATGGTAATGGTGATAGATAGTGTGGAGCAGGTGGATGGGGCCATGGGTAACTGGCGAACACTGGATGACTGTGGTGAGTGCATGTGCGCATGTGGGGCATGGCATCGACACATCATACTGTTGAATGATTGATGATGGTGATGTATGTCCATGCTGGTGAGGAAGTGTGGAGCAGGTGATGGGCCATGGGCAACTGGAGGGCAATGGATGACTGTGGTGCGTGCATGTGCGCATGTGGGGCATGGCATGGACTCACCATGTTGCTAAATGAGCTCCTGTTTGCCTGGCGCTCTTCCTTTTGGAATTTCCTTCTTCATCCCCCCCAAACCCCATCCCCATCCCCATCCCCCCATCCCCATCCCCGTCCCCATCCCCATCCCCATCCCCATCCCCATTCCCTCACTCTCCTTCCCCATCCCCATCCCCTCACTCTCCTTCCCCAACAATCCTCTCAATCACCTCCCCCATCACCACACCATCATCACCCAACCCCGGCTGTCCATCCCCACCAGCCCTCATCTCTCGCGCACAGCTTTGCGTCCGCCTCTTCCTGGAAGCTTCCCCTCTCTCTGCCAATCTGGACCCCCGGGAGAAGGGGCATGCAGACGAGCTGCTGCCCGTTGCTGCCTCCTGCCTCGTGGAGGTGAGTGGTGTGGTGCGGTGGAATGTGGTGCGATGTGGTGCAATGCATGGTATGGTGCAGCTGCAAAGTGGTTTGATATGGTGTAATTTGCGGCAGTGCATGCATGTGAGCGCTGGTGGCGTGCTATGGCCTGAACCCCCGGGGGAGAAGGGCGAGCTGCTGTTCATTGCTGCCTCGTCCCCTCGTGGAGTTGAGCAATGCAGTGCAATGCAGTGCGATGCAGTGCAATGCAATGCGATGCAGTGCAATGCAGTGCGATGCAGTGCAATTCAGTGCAATGCAGTGCAATGCAGTGCAATGCAGTGCGATGCAGTGTGATGCAAACTGGTGCAATGTTCCAATGCGCCGCTCCTGCAAGTATACCACTGGCACCAGCCAGAGGGCGTGGCGTGGGGCACCTGATAGAGGCGCTCCTGATCCTCACCTACGGCGCACCTTCCCGTGTCAGGCGCTCTCCCTCCGCCCCTACATTCTCACCCACTCCCATTCTCCTCAATGGCCCCTCGGGCAGGTGTACCGCCGGCGCCAGCCAGAGGGCATGGGATATCTCATTGAGGCAGTCCTGGTCCTCACCTATGGCGTCTCCCTCCGCCCGTACGTTCCCATGCCATGCCCCTTCTCCATCACACTCCTTGAGGCCCACTTTATATATATATTTTTTTTTCAAGTCTATGTCCATCCATTCCTTTTCTTCTTTAATAGCATGCAGTGTTATGCTTCACGTCAGTGTCACCATAGCACAAGTTCTCATTGTGCACTGCGCGCCTTTTTATGGTGTCACAATACCTCTTTGCTCTGACCACTTTGCATCTCCTTCCATTCCCTGCTCCCCCCAACCCCACTACACCGCTCTCCAAGTTGCCAGAATCAGTCCTCTCTTCTCTTCAGCACCATGCCGATCAGCCTGCATGGCCGTTCTTGCTTGCTCCCTAATCCCTCTTCTCCATCCCTTCCCTTCTCCCACCGTTCTCCCCACCTGCAGATTTAGCCCGCTGTTCAACACCATGCTTGTCAGCCTCTATGGGCTGTTGGGGTGCCCCTCCCTCGCCCTCGCCAGGTAACATGGTAACCATGTCGTCATGCTGCAACAGGTTGGATTGTGTGTTTGTCAGCCTCTGTGGTTACCACGGCCATAGCATGGCCTGTTGTGGTGCCCCTCCCTCTCCCTCGCCAGTAATTCCATCTGGTTACCACATCCTGTTACATCTGACCATCTGGTAACCACATCTGGTGACACATTACGCCTCCCATTCCTGTCTTGCCCCGTGCTTCCCGCACTCTTCTCCCGCACTTTTTTTTCCCTGTCGGAAATTCGCAAGCGTGATTCCATCCCCCTTTGTAAGCCCCCCTCATTCTCACCTCTGTTTCCCCGTCAATCCCGCCAGCTTCGAGCGGCTGAACGCGTATTGAAACATGCTCTCCTCTTTCTGTCTCATGTCACTCCCGTCAATCCCGCCAGCTTCCAACGCCTGAGTGCGAAGCACATTCAGCTGGACACGCTCACTCACCTCGTGCTGCCGTACCTGCACCAGTCGGCATCGCTCGCTGACGTCAGCGCGCTGCACGCTGACATGCGCGCCTTTTTCAACGACCACGTGTGGCGGGATAACGCTGACGTCAGCATGGAGGCTCTCAGACACGGCACGTTCTCAAAGGTAATGGTTGCACTGACGATTGTGTTTCAACCACTTTGTACGATCTACATTCTATTTCTACCACCCCCTCACCATGGAGACTCTCAGGCGCGGCACGTTCTCAAAGATGATGATTGCAGTGATGATTGCAGTGATGATTGCAGTGATGATTGCAGTGATGATTGCATTGACGATTGCAGTGATGATTGCAGTGATGGTTGCAGTGATGGTTGCAGTGATGATTGCAGTGATGATTGCAGTGATGATTGCAGTGATGATTGCAGTGATGATTGCAGTGATGGTTGCAGTGATGATTGCAGTGATGATTGCAGTGATGATTGCAGTGATGATTGCAGTGATGATTGCAGTGATGATTGCAGTGATGATTGGATCACTTTAAATCCCTCTCAAGTTCATTTTCTCAAGCTCAACAGTACTCGTTCCTTATTAAACCCGTGAAATTGCAGCCTTCCCACATCGTTTCCAAGTGACATCCATCCGAGACCCCTCTCTCCTCTTGCTCATGAACCCCCTTCCCTCCACCCTTTCCCCTCTCCTCTTCCCTGTTTCCTGTTTCGTCTACTCACTTCCGTCTTCCCCCTGCCCCTGTCTGCATTCCCCCTTCCTCTTCCCCTCTTCCCCCTTCCCTCTATCCCTTTCTTCCCCCGTGGCAGATACGTGAGTTCGCAGCCTTCCACCATCGCCTGAATCACTCGCACCAGCGCCTCCTCCTCTCCCCCAACTCCCTCCTCCTCTCCCTCCCCCTCGCCCTCCTCCCCCCCTCGGCCCTCACCTCAACTCTCCAACCCACTCAATCCGCCTCGGCAGTCCCGAACCAAGCGGCTGCTTCTGAGCCTGTGGCGCAGGTTCGGGAGGTGCTGCGGGCAGCAGGGGGCGGGCGGGAGGAGGTTCGGCAGGTGGTTGGGGAGCAGCTGGGTCTGGTTCGGCTGAATGAGGACTGGGGTGTGCGGCCGTGGTGGGACCCCTTGCCTCTTCCCTTCAGTGCACTCCTGGGACTGTGTGGAAAAGGTCTGTTTTTGCCCTTATATCCTCCATTTTACCCTCCTTTCTGTTCTACCCACCCGTCTCCCTCCTCCTTTACGGTTGAATGAGAACGGAACTGGGCACCGTTTGATGCGACTCTGAATAGTTTTTGAGTCGCCTCAAAAATTGTACTTGGGCATGCGGCCATGGTGGGACCCTCTGCCTGCCTCTGCTCTTGAGTGGTCTGCTCCGTGTGGAAGAGGTACCGTGTTGTGATGACTTGTTGCAAGCACTGGTGTGGGACCCATCCCTTTGGGCTTCCTCAGACCCTTCCCATTCTCTCACTCTCCTCCTTGTCCCCATCTGCAGGCCAATCACCACCTGACAGCTGGACCAGCCTCGAATCACCACACAAGGTGAATGAGCAGCCATATTTGGAAACAGAGGAAACAGCCCTCCTTCTGAGTTAATTCCAGACAGATGGCAAGCGGAGAAAACAGCCATCGCGCCGCAAAAATGCCATTTCTAGATTCTAAAAATGATTGAAATATTATCTCAAGGGTCCCCATAAATTCTTTGGCCATTCCTTCCCGCACGTTTCACCACATTTGTTCCTTTTCACCCTCATGTGTCCCCCCACCACCAGCAACAATCTCGCGAGTCTCTGTTGCTACAGCACGCGCAGTCCAGAGGCCTCCTCCCCCGCCTCCTCTTCCTCTCCCTCTCCTCCCCCTCCCACCTCCTCCCACCTCAAGCACCAAAAGGGGAGGTGGGAACTGGGGTAGGTGCAGCTGCGGGGGGAAGAGGAGGGGAGGGCGCAGGGGGGAAGGGGAAGGGGGGGAAAGGGAAGGGGGGAAAGAGTGGCGAGGGAGGGAAGGGGAAAGGGAGTGGAGGGGGGAGCAAGGCCGAAGAAGGATCAAAAGCAGCAAGTGTAGGGGGAACCGCAGGGGGTGGAGAGGAATTGGAGGCGGTGCAAGGGGAGTGGGAAGAGGTGCTGCGGCAGTACTGCCGGTTGAGTGCAGTGGGGGAGGAGGAGATGGAGCGGATGGCAGAGGAGGGAGTGATTGACTCCGCCCTGGTGAGTGGCTGGGGGTGAGAGAAGCAAATGGTGCCACAAGAGCCAGCCTCATTGTGTGAGAAAGAAAGGCCCCGTGTTTGACTTTTGCGCACGTCTTTGACTTTTGCGCACGTCTTTTACTTTTGCGCACGTCTTTTACTTTTGAGGCGTCTCGGAAGCGCCCATCATAATGCCAAGAACGTCTTTGCAGCGTGCATGGTGATGGGCTCTACTGCTCCTTTTGAGGTGACTCAGAAGTCGCCTTTGCAGCCCTGCCTTTTGAACCCACCAAAGCTGGTGCCTCACTTCTCTCCTCTTCACCCTCCCCTTCACTGCTCCCCCCTCTCTTCCTCCACTATTTTTGAGTAAACTAAAAAACAGCTCCCCCCTCTCTTCCTCTACTTCTGCCCCCAGCACCAGCTGGATTTACCATCTCTTCACTCCCCCCCAACCCTTTTCCTCCCCACTCCCGCCCAGCAGCAGCAGGACTTACCATCTCTGCTAGCCCGGCTGCCCTGTCTGCTCTTCACCACCTCGCTCTCACTGCACCGCCTCCAATCCCCCACCACCACCGCCACTACCAGCACCAGCACCAGCACCAGCAACGACAGTGCACCCACAGCTGCTGCTGCCCCTGCTGCGAGTGCCAAGAAGGCGGTGGGACTGGTGCAGGCTGTATCTGCAGCTCTGGCAGCCATCCTTCAGCTGCTGCACAAGGAATGCGTTCTGCCTGCAGCTTCCACTGAAGCTTCTGCAGAAGCTTCCCAGAAGCACCTTTCGCCTCTGGTAGTTTCTGGGAAGCTGCTGTCGTGCGCTCTGGGGTTGTTCATTGGGGAGTCGGCCTTCTGGTCTTCGCTTATCATATCCCATTGGCACGCTGTGGCGAACAGCCACCCACCTGCTGGGAAGAAGACAAAAAAGACCGCCCAGGATGCGGCCCAGCAGAGTCTGCCGGAAGAGGTGGTTCGGGCAGTCAAAGCTGCCCGGGAATTGGCTCGGGCAGGATTACAGTCCCTGCAAAAGGCCTTGTCCGGTCAGATTAGCGGTAAGGGTCGTCTGCCCGATAATGACATGGCTTGTGCTCTTATCGAGTTGCTCCCTGGCGTGAACAGTAGTGTAGCTGTAGACGATCAAAGGGCGGTAGCAGGGAGAGTGGTTGGCGATATGTGCAAGGTGAAAGAAGAGTTGAAGGGAGGAGCATCGGGCCAGCAGGATGCGAGCATCACTTCAAAGGAATGCAGAAGAGACAAGGAAATTGGGCTGCAGAGTGATAACGATGGCGATTCTGGAGAAGGTGGTAGTGGTGTGGATGTGGCATCTTGTGATTGGAGCATCAACTCTGCTGCTGAGAGGCTACTGTGGAGCCACAGGCGGTTCATTCAGCAGCTCATTGTCTTGCTAGATTGCCAAATTGGCATCCTAGGCCCCACATAAGGCCGTGCATGTGAAGGGGTCATCTGCTGGAAAATTTTACATGACACCGTAACAAGTTCAGGAATAGTATTATTTTCCCACCTAATAGTTTTTATTCGTATAAGCCGACCATATTATATCTCGGCAGACCCCATGGAGCCATTGCTGTCTCAACCATTCAGCGGTATATGCTTATAGTGGGAGTATTGTTTCACACAGACGCGATTCTGCGCCAATTTCGCCCTCCCATTTCGCTCTGCATGTTTCAATTGTGTGGCTCTGGTCGTCCCTGTGTCAGTCCCATTCTCGATTCGCGAATCCGAATTCGCGAAGCTAAACCTTCGCCTGGATTCATTGTGCCAACCACGATCGCGGCCTTTCTTCATTCCACATACAAGCGAGGCGTGCTCCCATGTTTGCTCCTCGAGCTCGGAAGCACAAGGAGAGGTAGCACGGGCCCGACGAACTGCGCAGGCTACTGCGTGATTTAGCTCAACCTTAGGGCGGAGCAATACGACCTCCTACGGTGTTGATTAGTAGGAGAAAATGACCCGTACTGCCGACGCGATTGCGATTACTCGCCGATATCTTTGAGATGCTTCAGAAGCCGGTAGTCAGACCAGGCTTACGGTATCAGGATACAACCTGAGGCGAGGCGTAATACTATGGTGGTAGCGCATGACCATAGCGACGGACAGGCGACAGCGCATGAAGCGAGCGACACGTGCAATGTGATAGCAAGTGTTTCGAGCGAAAGGAGCACGGAAGTAGTGCTCACAAAGCCGCAATCTACCGTAACGACTTGCTACGTGGCTTTTATCACTACGATAATCCTCGCAATCCTTGCCACGTGCAGCACAGTGCTCCTAAACCATCTGGCCCCTCAGAGCCGTTGGTTTGTTCCAGCTTCCCGTCATGATCATGTGATAGTTCGCGCATTCCAGCAGAGAGAACCACGCGTTGAAGCCGCCGGTGGTAGCGGTGATATCGGGGCTGTTGATATGAGAGAGCGGGTGACGCGGAACGACGGAGGCTGGTTCGAAGAAGCGACGAGGCGAATGGTCAGCGAGCGACGGGCACTCGGGGTTTCCAGCCTGCTGAATGTGAGGCTGACATGGTGGAAACAGCGTCGAGCGAGTGAGCAGCAAGACAAAAAGAGCCAGCAAGCGCAGGAGCAGGCGAGGACGCGCAGGAAGCAGGATCAGCAAAGACGGCGGGCGTTGAAGCAACGCGCGGGTGCATCCAGGGGGGCTTCAGAATCAGCAACTACCGGAGTAGAATTCATAGACAGGCTAGCTGATACGCTGCCGATTCCCAAGGAGCCGAAGGTGACCGTTGGTGAAATCGTGGTGCAGGCGTTACAGCTGCGGATACGTGGTAACCCGCTGGATCCCCAGAAGTTGGCGCTGTACATGAGTGCAAGGATGAACGCGTCGGGTAGCATGCTCAACCCTAACGCGTATACGATGCTCGCGGATACCATTTGGATGAACGCGAAATACAAAGGAAGACGTGTGGGGAACACAAAGGTGAGACTCGCTTCTGCACACACACACACACACACACACACACACACACACACACACACACACACACACACACACACGCACACACACACACACACACACGCACACACACACACACACACACACGCACACACACACACGCACACAGTCACACACCCCTTCCCCCTCCCTCCAACAACCCACACACTATATCCCAATTTCATGTTGTTTCCCTGGTCCACCGCTTCTCCTTTGTATCAATACCCCCCCGTCGACCGCACAATCCACCCCATATTGTGTTTGTTTCTAAATGCACCTCCGCCTTTTCCCTGCTCCATTTATCCACTCTACATTTTACACCATCATTGCACACCTCGCCCGCATCCCAGATTCACAATGTGCAAGTGAAGGGACGCACAAGTGCACCGTTTGCTGTGCCCATGAAAATTGTTGACTTCCCCATTGTGTCTGGCACCAGCTACACTACACTCGTTGCCGTCATGAATCAGAAACTGCCTATAGATGTGAGTGCACCCAGCGGATCATGTCCATGGAGTGTACCATAAGAGTGTTTAAGAGAAAAAGTTACATGATGAAACTTGCATTGAGCATTTGGACCTATGTGATGCTTGTTGATTTCCTGGGCCATTTTGGGCCTTAAGCCTCCCCCAAACACCCTTCTCCACCTACTCCCCCCACTTCTCCTCTCGTCTTCGCCCCTATGCCTGCCTTTCTCCGTTGCTCTGTCTCTTTCTTATCATCCTGACTGCTTTACTTCAGGTACTGATAACCACACTTGCCCGAATTCGTTACAACGGAGTGACCTCACCACAAGTCAAGGTACGCAGCCTAAATTTCATGATGTGTCACATATGACCAGAACTGGCTGGTGAATTAGTATTATACTCGGATTCCTCGTGAGCTCTGAATCTCATACATTATTGCTGCTTACCTCTCAGGCATACGTGAGATGCAAGGCCATTGTGAACCCTCTCACCATCCAGGTAATCTCCCAAGTATGTGGGAGTTCAAGCATTGGTCTCTAATATTAACCCTTGTCGTTAATGTAACACGTTATCTACCATCTCTCCTAGAGTGCGCAGCCAGATATTTCTGGTGCGGAATTATGTTTGTTTAGTATAATGATCCCTACCATATTTGACTAGGTATGATGTGGATAAGCAGGGCAGAGCTATGAGCAATTGAAGGCGTGTAACATGGTGTAGTGAAGGATTCATCAAAAGTCATGGTGTTGTATATCGGAGCGCGAGTACTGGCGCGAGTACGGCCTTTTCAGCTCCCGCCAAATTGGTAGAACCCCATTCAGAAATTGTAGTTCCCAAACCGCCAACGCTCACTGAACGGACTTCTCTGAATCGATATTCTGCACAGAACTGCCAAATCCAACCGTTGGTTTGGAAAGAATTTGCCATGCGCGATGAACTCGGTGCTTGTGAAGCCAGGCTGCGCCACCCCGACGTCTTCCCTTCTGCAATAAAAGTGGTCGACTCTCTCTCCCCTCGAGAATCTCGACTGGAAGGGAGACAATTCCCAGGGCTAGGGTGCTCGCAGTCGCACGCTCTCCATTCCACCCCACCCCACTCACCCTTGCACCGCCGTACTCACGAACCGCGGTACCCACACTGACGAGCACCGCTGTCTGCTGGTTGGCCGCAACGACTTAGATCTTGTCGTCCGCGGTAAACCGACCAATCACCATTCCTCCTGACCACCTCATGTTCCCTCACACTTGGACTTCATGAGCCACGACTCACGAGTCCTTCCGAACGCTGCCGTCGAGTCGTCACGACTGACTGTCTGCTAATCAGTCAAGCCAACTATCGCCGTCAATCGCCGTACCGTGGGAGCACCAGTACACGGCACTCCTAACCCAGACAGTCCGCCCGTTCACGAGCATATTGAGGTGCCTCGAACGGTCGCAAGAGTAGCAAGAGTGATAAGCACACTGTCATTCACCAGCATTTCACCCCTTTTCAAACTCTCGCATTCTAATACTAAAACCACTACGCACGCATAACAGTGTAGAGTGAAGCAGTCATACTCGTAGCAGCAGTTTATCACGCACTTTTTCCAAGCCGTTATGGCTGCCGTACTCTTGAGGATGCTCCGCGCGTCGCCAGTGGCGCTTTTACTTCTGCTGTTACTCCAATGCTACCATTGCCACGTGGAAGCTCAAGGCGGGAAGTGCGACTTGAACGCAGGCTCGTGAGTCTCTTCTTCAGTCTAGAATCTTCAGTTATGTGCATCTTCAAGCCAAAACCTCGCCCCATTTCCCTGCATTATTTCGCGTCCTCCGTTTGTGCGCACCTAATTCCCTGCTCGGAAGTAATGCACCTGAAGACGAAACTTCTTCAAGCGTGCTTAATAACCATGGTGTTTAGCCCGTTCCAGTTACCACCTCTCAAAACCATTTTCCTAGCTGACAAATTCATCTCCTACCCTTCGTCGCTACCACATGCGTCAACTACGCATTGGCGAGGAGGGGAAAGAGTGAGCGGAAGGTCAGTGCTGCTCTTTCCTCTGGCCAGGGCGAGCTTGTATTCGTATGGTCAGCTGCTCATCGCGACCAAATGGCGCACGACCCCGCATTGGCGAAGCGACTCACGAGTTGGAAGTGCAGCACAGCCGCTCCCTCGCTCCATCCCCTCCTCTGTCGCCGCACTTACTAGTCGCTCTCACCACTCACTTCTCATCACTCGTCTCTCATCTTCCTCTATCATCCCTGCTCACCTTCCCAGATGAGTGCGCAACCCGTCTCTCCCCAAGCGCTACAGGGGCTTGACCTGCAAGAGCACCGACGCCCCCCAGCCTTACTGCCTCGCGCTCCCACCTCATCTCTCACCTCTCGCTTTCACTTCCCTCTCACCACTGCAGATGGGTGCGCAACCCGTCGCTCCCCAAGCGCTACACGGGGTTGACGTGCAAGAGCATCCGGTCGAGCCTCAACTGCCAGAAGAACGGCCGCAAGGACACGGCGTATCTCAACTACGAATTTAAAAGCCCCGGATGCAACATCCAGAGGTACGAACCAGTTGAGACTGAGCAATGCCTTGAGTCTACAATGCACAAGACTACATCAGCTTCGAGTGGCGCAGTCCCAGGTGCAACATTAAGAGATACTTGGGAGCAGCGAAAGAATCCCGTACAAAAGACATGCAAGGCTTGGTCGTGACCTGAAGGAACGCTAGTAGTGAGCACCGCGAACAGGAACCTGACAGACATGTTTCTCCCGCCAGGAGTAAGCGTTTTCTCTCCAAGGGCTCTGAAGACATGCTTTATACGCCCAAATCCCTGTCCGCCTCCTCCCCGCCCAGCTCCTCCCACTCCTCGTTGCCGTCACTTTCTCCTCGCACGAGCGACTCCCCTTGTCTTATCAACCCCCCATTAACCTCTCCCGTAACCCTGCTCCCCGTGCAGGTTCGACCCGAAGGCGTTCCTGGTGATGATGCGCAACAAGGTGTTTCTGGGCGTGGGCGACTCGTTCAACCCGAACCTGCAGCACTCCGTGCGCTGCCTCATCGAGAGCGTCGCCGCCACCAAGGACGTCAACGGCGCGCTCTTCAAGACGGGCCTCTCCGCGCAGGGCTACGTCGTGCCGCAGTACAACGCCACGTTCCTCACCATCGCGTCCAGCTTCCTCGTCGACGCAACTCCCGTGGTACGCTGAAATACGTCGTAGTTCCACTCGTTTCCCGTGTGAAGAAGACTCTCCGCAGGGCTACGTAGGCCGCAATACAACGCCACGTTCCTTACTATCGCCTCGAGCTTCCTGGTCGGCGCAACTCCCGCGGTACGCTGGTGTGTGCGGCGTTGGCTGGGCAGGTACGCGCGTGTGCTTGCGTTGGTATCCGCGCAGGGCCACGTCGTGCCAAAATACAACGCCACGTTTCTCACCATTGCGTGGAGCTTCCAACAGCAGTCCGCGGACGGTGAACCTTCACTTGTCCAACAAGGAACGCCCTTTAGCCTCTCTCCGTCCTTCCCCCATGTCCTCCCCCCTCCCCTGTCCCATTCCCCTTGCATGCTTCAGGGCGCGGCTTCCAGCAGCAGTCCATGGAAGGTGAACCTGGACGTGCCCAGCAAGGAGTGGACTCCGTTTCTGCGGTACTCGCACTACGTGGTGTTCTCTGCAGGCCACTGGTTCACCAATGTACGTGCGTGATTGGTTGATGGATTGAGTGAGTGGGGCGGTGCAAGTTGTATCGTACATGCGCACACGTATGACACTCGTGCTCTCTGCTCGCTCCACGTGGTGTACTCGACCAGGCACTGGTTCACCAAATAATGTGAGCGAGTGGGGCGCCGCAAGTACGTTTGTACGTACAGGATCTGAGCGGGTGTGCGTGTTGTTGCGCAGCTGCGTTTTGGTTTGCAGTCAAAATGCATTGTGAGTGCATGCAGGGTCGTTGCAATCACTCCTTCACGTACTCATGCGTTCAAGTGTGTCTGAATGTGTTAAACAAGCAGGCAAGAAAGGAAAAGGGGCACTAAAAAAGCCACACCCCCTATCTCCGTTCCCCTCTGCGTCTCCCCATCACACATGCCCACTGTGCTGTCTGGTAACCTTCGACAGTGGTAGGTGAAGAAGCAGCAGCAGAAGGGCATGAGTGTGTGTGGGTGTGTTCGGGCAGGCAAGAAAGGATAAGGCTCATGCAGGAAGTCACACCCCTTCTATCTGCTCCCCTCTCCATTTCCCCCCTCACACATGCCCAACCTGCAGTCTGGGAACCTGAGGCAGTGGTTTGTGAAGAAACAGCAGCAGAACGGCATGGCGTCGTCAGCAGCAATGACAGCCGCATACACGACAATGCGCAACTACATCGCGAGCTCGGGGTACACGGGCGTGCCCATGGTGCTCACCTACACGGCGTCGCACTACGACTCCGCCTTTGCTGCCACGGACTCGGTGAAGGAGTGCAGTCAGTCCAAGGGGCCCATGACCTCCAAGCAGATGGCGTTTGCTGCAAAGAAATCGGACGCACTCGAAGGGAGGACCGCTGTGGTAAAGGTGAGTGGGTGTGTGTAGTGATGGAGGTTCAGCTTGAGGATGGCTTTAGGGTTCCATTCAAATGCCTGAATATCGTTTCTTCTCTTCCTAAATTGCTGGTTTTGCCTCAGGTGTTCCAAGGCAACCCGACCTTCAAGATTCTTGATGTCAGCAAGGCCAGCTTGATGAGACCCGATGCACACATGGCGCAGTTCAGGGCAGGGACGTCGGACGATGACTGCTCCCATTTCTGTGTTCCTGGCGTCCCTGACACATGGTCGGACCTGATGTTCTCCTACATGACCAAGTCTATTTGACATACGCTTACATACCGTACCTAGTAGTACATAGTAGAGCACTTTTAGTGGCTTAAATTTCAATACCTGGAGTATATCTGAAGCTTCCTTAGTGATAATGAGAAACTTGTGTACTCATTTACTTTACAAGATTACCGTACATCTCAGTTCTTATCTACAGTTGCAATATGGCTTCTGCGTTTGAGGGTGCTGCTCTTTGGTGAAATTCAAATATCCAGCTTTGGAGAGAACCCCCTCGTCCGAGGCGCAGCGCCGCCCTTCTACAGTAAACGCGGCTCGATAACATGCATGCACAAAAGTCAAGAGCTGGTCCCGGTTTGCGAAAAGACTAGTTCACCGTGTCTACTGTAGATTGACGCAGATTTGAGCATTTCGTCGAGCGTACGATAGATCGCAAACTTCGTGGCCGAGCCGAGTTAATTTTGGGCGAAGGGCGCTGCTGGTGTGGCGGGGGGACACAACCGTGTGCTGTGGGTGCGGCTTTGGGCCGCCATTCACCGTTCGCTTGGACGAGGTGGGCGGAAGGGGAAGGGCTCCGCGCCGCAACACGAACCACCCCATAGCCGGCTGCGAAACAAACTTTCCAAGCCGAGTGAAGTGAGGTTGGGGGACCCTGCATAACCGTTCTTAAACGTTCGTAAACTCAAAGCACCTCACCGAATACCACTAGTACAAATTAGTGTGGATTAGGAGGCAGGTGATAGGCACAAACCAAAGCAGCTCTGCTAGGTATTTCAGTCGTTATATATAATGATCCGAGATATCTAAGGGCTCACGCGGCAAGTAAAACGGGGTGGCCGTATCTCGGTCAGCTCCCCTCTCGTCTCTTGCTGAGTGCTTCCTTATCAGCGCCGCACAGCCCCAAGCCTCGGCAGTTTTTTCACGCCGCATTTCTCGGCGAATCTCGCGCCATTCTCGCTGATCCTGGCGCGTTACGTTGTACTTACGTCGATTTTTTTCGCGAAATTCACGAAAATGGATTCCCTGCTGCTGCTTCTCGTGGTAACGTCGGCACTGTGCTTGACTGGACCCCGTTGCCACGTGGAGGCCTCTAATGCCACGTCGCCGAATTCCGCGCAGCCGCTGTCGCAATGCGACCTGAGTGCCGGCCGGTAAGTCGGACGGCGGCTCCTGTGCACCCCACCGCGGCTGTCGCAATTCGCGACGATCGCGACCATCCCGACTCCATCGCGCCGTCTTCGTAACGTGTCGGGTTACCCCCTTACTACACGTGTTGCATCTGTCAATACATCACCCTTTTCCTTTCTTCTATCAAGGGTTACCCCCTCCTCCTTCCCTTCCACCTCTCCAGTCTACCACGCTCCCCGCGTCGCGTACTAGCCAGATACATACTAACCCTTGCATCACGCGTTACAGCATGCCGCCGCGTACATGCAGCTGCCAGAGAATTTTCGTACGCCTCTCTCCCTCTCCCTCCCACTCATCTCCCAAAACCAACTGCACGCGTAGCCTCGGACTCGGACGCGTTACAACTGCCAGAATGATCTCTCCCTCTTACTACACTGGAATCTTCCTCCTCCTTGTAACAAACTGGGTCGGTGCGCAACCCCCGGGTCTAGCGCTACACACGCTACTGCTGCCGCTGCAGCTTCTTTAGCCTCTTTCACTCTCTCGCGCTCGTCGCTCCCTCAGAATCAACTGGGAGCGCAGTGTCATAACTCGTGCGTGATGTGTTGCACCGGCTACAGCTGCCAGAGCAATGCCTTCTCTCTCCCTCTCCGTCTCTCGCTCTCGTCCCTCCCTTTTTTCTGAGCCAGCTGGGTGCGCAATCCCTTCGTGAAGCGCTATACGGGCTTCAGCTGCCAGAGCATTCGCTCGCAGCTCAACTGCGACCGCAAAGGGCGCTCCGACTCCGAGTATCTTAACTACGAGTGGAAGAGTCCCGGGTGCAGCATTAAGAGGTAATGCTTTCACTTATCTATAGTGACAAAACACACTCATCAACACTTTTACATATCTATATATGCATTTACATGTGTGTGTGTGTGTGTGTGTGTGTGTGTGTGTGTGTGTGTGTGTGCATGTGTGTTTGTGTGTGTCTGTGCGCGCGCGCACGTGTGTGTGTGTGCACGCGTGAGTGTCTGTGAGTGTGCGTGTGTGTCTGTGCGCGCGTGTGTGTGCGTGTGTGTGCGCGCGCGCGCGCATGTGTATGTGTGTGTGCGCGTGTGTGCCTGTGTGTGCGTGCGTGTGTGGCCATCCAACCTCAAGATAAACACCATTTTCCCGCTTCCTCTCCCACCCCCCCTCTTCCCCCCCTTTCCTTATCTTCCCCAGGTTCAACACCGCAGCCTTCCTCAACACGGTGCGCAACAGAGTCTTCATGTCGGCCGGCGATTCTTACGCCACCAATCTCTACCACGCCCTGCGCTGCCTCATTGAGACCACCACGAAAGTCCAAGTAAGTCAACCAGGTCAATCATATCATATCAATTATTGGCTCCTGTGCCACCAACCTCTACCACGCACTGCGCTGCCACACTGAGACCAGTGCGGAGGTCAAGGTAAGTCAAGCAACCAGGTAGAAAGAAAACGAAGAAAAAAACTGTCATTTCACTCCCACGACACCAATCTCTACCATGCACTGTGCTGCCTCATCGAAGCCATCCTACAAGTCAAGGTAAGTCAACCAGGTCAATCAGAGAAGAGCTGCTAGTCGCTCCGATGCCAGGGACCAAGGAAAATAAAACCGGAGTCTCAAGTTCCCTTCAACTGCCTCAACCTTCCTACCTTTGGTTGGGTCACCAGGTTCAACCAACCTTCCTACCTTTGGTTGGGTCACCAGGTTCAACCAACCTTCCTACCTTTGGTTGGGTCACCAGGTTCAACCAACCTTCCTACCATTGGTTGGGTCACCAGGTTCAACCAACCTTCCTACCTTTGGTTGGGTCACCAGGTTCAACCAACCTTCCTACCTTTGGTTGGGTCACCAGGTTCAACCAACCTTCCTACCTTTGGTTGGGTCACCAGGTTCAACCAACCTTCCTACCTTTGGTTGGGTCACCAGGTTCAACCAACCTTCCTACCTTTGGTTGGGTCACCAGGTTCAACCATCCTTCCTACCATTGGTTGGGTCACCAGGTTCAACCAACCTTCCTACCATTGGTTGGGTCACCAGGTTCAGCCAACCTTCCTACCTTTGGTTGGGTCACCAGGTTCAACCAACCTTCCTACCTTTGGTTGGGTCACCAGGTTCAACCAACCTTCCTACCATTGGTTGGGTCACCAAGTTCAACCAACCTTCCTACCATTGGTTGGGTCACCAGGTTCAACCAACCTTCCTACCCTTGGTTGGGTCACCAGGTTCAACCAACCTTCCTACCCTTGGTTGGGTCACCAGGTTCAACCAACCTTCCTACCTTTGGTTGGGTCACCAGGTTCAACCAACCTTCCTACCTTTGGTTGGGTCACCAGGTTCAACCAACCTTCCTACCCTTGGTTGGGTCACCAGGTTCAACCAACCTTCCTACCCTTGGTTGGATCACCAGGTTCAACCAACCTTCCTACCCTTGGTTGGGTTACCAGGTTCAACCAACCTTTCTACCCTTGGTTGGGTCACCAGGTTCAACCAACCTTCCTACCCTTGGTTGGGTCACCAGGTTCAACCAACCTTCCTACCCTTGGTTGGGTCACCAGGTTCAACCAACCTTCCTACCCTTGGTTGGGTCACCAGGTTCAACCAACCTTCCTACCTTTGAAACCTGTGGACCTCGGGTTTTAAATTATAGAGTCCCGAATCAGTGTACCCAACACCAAGTCGTTCGTGTGACTCATGTGTCCCGTTGCTCCCCCTCTCTGCACCACCACCAGGACTACAGCACGAGCTCTCCGCCTCCATAAAAGGCGTCCAGATTCAGCGTACCGCGCAAGCTGTTATTGTGCCTCACACCTCACTGTGCATCCCCTCCCTCGCCACCACCAGGACTACAGCACGGATTCGGCCTTCGGGACGGGAGTGAGGGCGTCCGGATTCAGCGTACCGTCGCACAACTTCATCTTCCTCCGCCAGTCCACCAACTTCCTCGTCGAATCCGAGCCTCAGGTACGCTTGCCCCTGGACACATCCCGAACCTCCTGTAGGTTCGGTTTCCTCTCCACCGTCTCAATCTTCTCGTTCCTCGTTGTCTCTTCTTTCTTCTTCTTCCTTCCTTTTCTATCCTGTCCCCTCCTCTTCCTCTCCCTCTCCCCTCCTCTCCCTCTCCCCTCCTCTCCCTTTCCCTCTGCGCTCCTCCACCTCCCAGGGTTCAGCATCCAGCAATGTCCCGCGGACGGTCTCTATTCCATCCATGCTCCTCTCTCCTCTCCCCTCCTCCGCTCCCCTCCTCTCCACTCCTCCACCTGCCAGGGCTCGGCATCCAGCAAGGGGCTGTGGACGGTGCGGCTGTGGCAGGCGGATTCCAAGTGGGCGAAGCTGATTCCTCATGTCAACTACGTGCTCTTTGCTACAGGCCACTGGTTCACTAACGTGAGTGCACTATAACGAGTCTAGCTCATCCCTCGTTTCAACTATGTGCTTCGTACAGCCTACAGGCCACAGGTTCACTAACGTGAGTGCACTATAAGGAGCCTAGCTCATCCCTCGTTCCAGACTAGCGGAATGCTGTCAACACCAATGCAGTCAGTCCCTCCCTTCCTCCCTACTATCCTCGTCTGCCCTCCCATCTGTTTCCCCTTTGCTCCACTACTCTCCCAGTAGTCAAAGCTACAGCAATCACCAATCGAAACAGATCGCCAATGACACATTCATTCAAACCACTCTCTACTCCTCCCTTTCCATTCGGCACCCCTTCGCTTCTCTTCACCCTCCACCCAGGCCCCTTCCAACACTCGCGACTACCGCGATTACAACGGGAAGCAGATCAGCGTCAGTTCAATGCAGGCCCTGCGCAGAGCGATGAAGACCGTGCGTGAGACGCTGCAAGCCGCCAAATTCCGCGGCATGCCCATGTTCCTCTCGTACACAGCGACCCACTACCAGGCGTCGTTTCCTCCGCAAGACTCCATGAATGACTGCATGGGTGCTAAATCGCCCGCGGGGGACAGCGTGGTGTCGTATGCGGAAAAGAACACCTTCTTTATGAAGGCACGCAATCAGCTGCGCTCTGTAAGAACACATTATCTTCTATCCCCATTCATGACTTTTTGAATTCCCTTTCAGGCAGTCCGTTCTGCTGTTCCCCTTTCTTGTGCGAGCCCTCTTTCATGTTTTGGGAGCTGTTTAAATCCTGGAATCTATTCCTGCAGCAGTGTTCAACATGTTTGCATGCTGTCTGTGTGTGTGTGTTAGGGGGTGCGGCGTGCGTGCGTGTGTGCCGGTTCTCTCCATGCTTCTCCCTATGCGCACCTTCCCCTGCACGATTCTTTTTTTTTGCGTGATGTGGCATGCATCAGGTTATGAGGAACTCAAGGTTCAAAATCGTAGATGTCACGAGGGCTACACTGTACCGTCCTGATGCACACTTGCAGAAGTATGGAGAGGAGGCAATTGACTGCTCCCATTGGTGTGTTCCGGGCGTGCCCGACTCATGGGCCGACATTGTTTATTCCTATGTGTCCGGCTCACTAGCGTGAGGGATGCAGCATGTTTGATAGTTTTGAACTCGGGAAGTCATACCTCATGAGCTTCCTGAGCAGGAGACTGCATTTGGATCTTGACCACATTTTTTAGGGAGTAGAAATGGTGAATGTAGTAGAAATGTCTGTAAATGCCTCGTCTTACGTTGAAAAACGCGTGTGTGTATGTCGAGTTATGTAATGCCAGTGTGTCAACCGAGCCCTCGATATTGCAACAATCAGTAGTAGTCGCTAGTCGTCGAGCATCTGGACCAATGCCGATCCGCCAGCTGGTAGCGACGCGGCCTGTGCTGCATGTTAAGAAGTCTCGGAACGTATCTCCGTCAAGCAGGAGATCACTGGTTCCGCTTCTGGCGCTGCTGGTGCTGGAAGCGGCCCTTGCGGCGCCTGTCGCGGGTACGGAGAGCGGCGAGCATTGCGACATCGCCGCTGGCGAGTAAGTCGCGGTGTATTGTTCCGCTTCGACCTGCAAATTAATGTTATTTTGAGGAGCATCGAAAGGTTCGGTCTCAATGCTCTTTCGAGGCGCCACAAATGTTGCAGAGTACAGGCGCTAATTGTTGTTATATTCTGTACATGCTTAGAGTTGTGTGAATGTTGCCGTCATTGGCACTAGGGAGGAGCACCTTTTGGCATCGTGACAGTTCCCAGTTGTGCTCTCGCCTGCATATAGCGCTCCTCACGTGTTTCACATCCCCCTTCGCCGCCACTATTGGAATGGTGTTTGCCATCTGTTTCTCATCTCGTCTCCTAGAGCATCATCTGTTACATTATTTAATGCATCGCGACAGTTCACAGAACTCGCTGGAATGTTGTGCAACTGAATCCTCATTCTATCCCACCCCCAGCCTCTCCCCCAAGAGATATCGCAGCGATAGCCGAACCTCGACGAGAAGTAGCTGCTACGAGTTTGCTGATCTTGTTTTCCGTCCCCTCTTGCCGTCCCCTCTTGCCGTCCCCTCTTGCCGTCCCCTCTTGCCGTCCCCTCTTGCCGTCCACTGTTTCCGAGACTAATCGTATTTGTACTCTCGTCTGCATTAGCGCTCCCTACGTATATAAATCCCGTTTCCCGTGCGTAATCCGCTTATCATGCCGTTTTTATTGCGCGATATGTTTGAGAGTCGTCTAGTATCTCGTGAGACTTATCAGGACAAGTTGAGCAAATAATTTCATCACTATGAGAAGCAGCTGCCTCAAGTCCGCTTCTCATGTTTGCCGTCCCCTCTTGCCGTTCCCATCTTACCGTCGGCTCTCACCGTCCAGTCGTTCCATCCCATTTTTTGTCTCCCCTTGTCCTTCCCTCTTACCGTCCTCTCTTGCCATCCCCCTTGCCGTCCCTCTTCCCACCCGCTATTGCCGCCCCTTATGCCGTCCCTTATTGCCGTTTCCTATTGCCGTCTCTTACCCTCCCCGCTTGCCAGCCCCCGTTGCCCTTCCCCCCTGTCGTCCCCTCGTGCTAGATTCGACAGTCTCTATCGCGCCCTCCTCTCCCTTCTCCCCGTCCCGACTCTCATCGCGCCAAATGGATATAAAGCCCGCGACTCACGCCGCAATACACGGCTTGACGAGCTCATTTCGCCCTCTCTTCCCTCCTCACCAGATGGATCTACACCCCGCGACTGACGCCGCAATAAACGGCGGAGAGCTGCAAGAGCCTGGGACGCAACTTCGCGTGCCAGCGCAACGGGCGGCCCGACTCGGAGTACGAAAAGTACTCGTGGCGCAGCTTCGGATGCACCATCGCCGAGTAAGCCCCCCCCTCTTTCCCGCCCTTCCCCCCAACCCCCACCTCCCCTCCCCTCCTCCCCATGTCCGCGGTCCCCCTCATCTGCATTGCTCCCCATGTCTGCCTCTCTCCGCGTTGCCCCCCATGCCCTTTCCCGCGTTCTTCCCCATGCGCTCCCCCGAATTTCTCCCCACGCCCTTCCCCCATGCGCCCATATGCCTCAAATTGCTCCCCTAGCCTTCTTCCCCACGGCCCCGATGCCCTCCCCTGCATTGTCCCCCATGCCCTCTCCTCCATTACCCATATGCCCTCATCCCGTGGTCCCCATGTCCCCGCTTGCCCTCATGCCCTTGGCCGCATTGCACCGCATGCCCTCCCCCGCGCTGTCCCTCTTCACACCAGATTCAAGCCCCTCTCCTTCCTCACCCTGCTGCGCAACAAGGTCTTCCTAGTCGTGGGGGACTCGCTCTCCATGAACCTCTTCTCCTCGCTACAGTGCCTCGTCGAGACAGTCACACCCACTGAGGTGACGCCTCGCTATAGTCACACTCATTCACTAAGCTGTCGCCCTGCTATAGTCCCATATCCCCCCATAGGCTCCTATTTTTCTTTATTTTCTCCTTTTACCACTCACAACTACCCTTACTCTCCCCCTGCCTCATGGTTACTAGCCTCTGCTCGTTTCCCCCAACCCCCCACCATTACCCTCCCCCCTTGAACCCGCCCAATGTCCTCCCCCTTCACAGTTTCCCCTCTCCTCCCCCCACTCCTCTTCCCCACCCCTCCTCCCTTCCCCTCCTCCTCCCTCTTCCTCCCCTTCCTCCTTCCCACTCCCCTTCTTTTTCCTGGTTGCAGGAGCTGAAGGGGCCTCTGTTCCCTGGAGGGCCAAAGACCCTTGGGATTTTCGTGCCTGCTTTCAATGCAACCATGCTGCGCCACCCCTCCTCCTTCCTCACCAACTCCACTCCCGATGTAAGCTGCTTCGCACTCAGTATAAGCTGCTCTGTGCACGATATAAGCTGCTCCACTATAAGCTGAGTCTATAGGTGCCTTGAAAGTCACCGCAACCCTCCTGCACCGACCAATCTATTCCCCATATAAGCTGCTCTCCCTCCCAACCATGCTCACACCAATGTGGCCCCTGTACTGTTGAGGATGATATGCAATTAGAGCAGTGCAACCAGGTGGACGGCACACCTGGATCAGGTGCATCCTGCATCCTGATTGCACACTTTGTTTCAACCTGCAGCCCACTCTTTTCTCTCCTATTCCTTCTCTCCTACTGGTGCTCCCTAATTCAATGTGCATCAATTTGCGCTCTTGTCCTTCCGCTCTCTGCTCTCCCGTCTCTGCTCTATCCTCTCTTCTCTCTGCTCTTTCCTCTCTCCTCTCTCCTCTCTCCTCTCTCCTCTCTCCTCCCTGCTCTCCCCTCTCTCCTCTCTCCTCTCTGCTCTCCCCTCTCTCCTCTCTCCTCTCTCCTCTCTCCTCTCTCCTCACTCCTCTCTCCTCGCTCCTCTCTCCTCTCTCCTCTCTCCTCCCTCCTCTCTCCTCCCTCCTCTCTCCTCTCTCCTCTCTCCTCGCCCCTCTTTGTGAATCAGGGAGAGAAGTCCAGTGCAAGCACATGGACCGTGCATCTGGACCAAGTGCATCCTGATTGGTCGCCGCTGCTACAGTACTCACACTACGCGCTGTTTGGAACTGGTGTCTGGTACACCATGGTGAGTTATGATTTTTTATTATTTGCTAAATTATGCACTTCTATACGGAGACAAACACTTGAGACAAAAATATGATTTTTTTTTAATCGCTCTCTGGTACACCATGTCGAGCTTTATTGTAAATATTGCGTTATTATCTTTGTTGCGATCACATGCGGATGGTCGGTAGAGTACATCACATCACCCAATACAGCCACACACTGATGCATAGGTGAGTTTGGCACAAGTGCATGGCAGCAATACCACATAAGCATCCATTTATGATGGTTTTCATTTGATTTTCATTTCATCCCTACCAACACTCCACCATCCTCAAATCCGCCCTGCACATCTCAGTCCCTATTTGTTACCCTAGGCTTTTTCCCTAAGGGAGCGATAGCGCCAACTTTTAAGCCCTTCCTTCCCCTGCTCCCTCTCCTCCCTCCCTTCCGAAACTGCTTCCACCAGGCGGACCCCAAGAAGCGCCGTTACATGATCAACAACACCCTGCAGCCTGAAATGGACCGCGTCGTTACAATGCAACTCGGAGTTTGAAGTACACCGGCATGCCCATGTTCCTAACCTTCACCCCGATGCATTACGATGTGAGGCTGAATGAGAGCATGCAGCATGCCAACTGCAGCGTCATCCAACGGCCGTTGACCATCGAGCAAGTCGCCAATATGGATTGGGCGGTTGACGCACTGAAGACTCGCAAGGCCCAACTGAAGGTACGAACCACATAGTGTTGACACCACTATGGAAACTACAGATGGAATAAATAGTTAGTAGTTCATTTTCGTTGCTTTGTAGACGTCAAGGATTATTGCTCTTATGGTGGTTTGGGTCAGCGAGACTGTTTTTACATCCTCCGTTCATATGGCAGGTATTTCGGCATGACCCCGAATTTAAGATCATAGACATCACCAACTTGGCCCTGTACCGAGCGGATGCTCATCTCCAATCCTACTTCGATGTTGAGGGAGGGATTGACTGCCTCCATTGGTGCATTCCTGGTGTACCTGATACTTGGGCCAATATCATATATTCCTATATGATGGGGTATTTATAGCACTTGTCTACATTGCATAGCAAATATGCATTCTACAACACTGTTAACATGTATGTACACATTTATGAGCTGCCTTCCAGCATAGATCCTAGTGTGCACCCCAAAATGCCTACCCTTCACTTGTACTTCTTGGGCCCTTCCCCGTTATACGGTAGTGATCCCTTTTTTATCTCTCGTAATTCTCTCGCCACTATCTCCTAGTTACGTTACATATTCTGATATGCTTTCAGAGCAGGTTCGTTCCTAGAACCATAACTTCTTTGTAAATGTGGCGTTCTCTTATGGCGCCATCACTCCGCTGGCGCGGAATCTGCTGCTGGGCGCGATCGCGCAGCGCGACCGTTGCGACTTCCATGACGAGCCACGCGACGGTCGCAACTGTCAAAGATGTGAACAGCGGAATGGTTGCACTGAAATAGAATGTGGGTACAAGTACCTAACCCTAACCGGGTTGTACCTGTTAGAATCTAAGGCATGAGTGATGTGCACTGTCGAGAGATGTTTGGTACAAGGAAGAAACCTAAGGGGTTGTACCCCACAGTATCTACCCCACTACAGCCTACCCAAAACTATAACACATATATATATATATTTGACACACCCCCATAGGCAAAGTGGGGGAGAGCAAGAGGTCACAAGACCAGTCAAGAAAAACAAAGCAAGCTCAGGGTGGATCACAACGTCACCACACACACTGAGCACAAGCAAAAAGGCCACAAGGCCAGTTCACATGCAGAGGTATATATGCAACAAAAAACAGTACAGTGATCTCTACCTAGCAAGAGCAAGCATGCAGGTATATACATATATAGATCACAGTACAAGCAGAGTCTACAGCAAGTGTGGAAACGTAGGCACAAGGCCCAACAAAGTACAAAAGCGCTGATGATCACCAGACGGAAGTGCCTTGGTGAATATATCAGCAGTGTTGGCCCGAGTGGCCACGTGAGCAAGACGAAGCTGACCCCGCTGCTGCAACTCTCGAGCCAGAAAGTAACGCAGAGCGATGTGCTTCGTTCTGTGCTCCAGTCTGTGCTCCTGACACAAGGCAATGGCTGCCTTGTTGTCGACGTACAGAACTGGAGGAGAACGAGGCCTCTCTCCCAAGTCGGTCAGCAGGTAGGTGAGCCAGCGTAACTCCTGAGCAGCCATGGCTGTGGCGTAGATCTCAGCCGCACAACTGGAGCCGAGAACAGAAGACGAGCGCGTAGACCGCCAAGAAACAGAGCCAGAGCCAAGACTGAAGGTGTAACCCTGTGACGACCGCTGCGTAGCCTGGTCGTCAACCCAAGAAGCGTCCGAGTGACCAGTGAGGACAACGTCGCCCCGTCCTCCAAGCACGAGCCCCATGCCCGATGTACTGCACAAGTAGCGCAGTACCCTCTTAGCGTCATCCATGTGCACCTTTCGGTGCCGACCAGGAGCCACGTAGCGAGCCAGAAGGCCAAGAGGGTACGCAAGGTCAGAACGAGTGCAGGTCATCAGGTACATGAGGCAGCCCACTAGCTCTGGGTAAGGACCACTCGGCTCTACGGACTCGTCCGAAGGTGGAGCTGAGAGCGAGTGACCTGTAGCCAGAGGAGTGGCCTGTGCCGAGGACCAGGTGAAGCCAAAGCGCTAAAGCACCTGCTGCACCATGTGTGACTGAGTCAGTGTGATGGTGCGGCGTGCTCTGTCCCGGGTGATCTGCAAGCCAAGGTAACTGCGCAGCTCACCCAGGTCTGTGCACGTGTGTCTCTTCTGCAGCTCCGACTTCACCAGGGCGAGAGCCTCAGCGTCAGCAGTGGCAAAGACCAAGTCGTCGACGTACACGAGGATGTAGAACGGCGGCAGCGAAGTGTCGGTGCGCAGAAACAGAGACGGGTCAGCAGTCGAAGGAGCAAACCCAAGAGCCGCAAGTGTCATCCTCAGTGTGTCGTGCCACTCACGCGGTGCCTGGCGGAGACCGTAGACCGGCCGCCGGAGGCTCCACTGGGTACCAGGAGGGAACGACCCAGTGAAGCCAGGTGGGCGGCGCAGCCAGATCTCCTCGTGCAGGCTGCCCTGTAAGAAAGCTGTGCTGAAGTCAAGCGAGTGAAGCTCGTAGTCACGCTGAGCGGCAACGTGCAGCAGCACCCGAAGAGTGGTCATCTTTGGGGTGGGGGAGAAAGTCTGGAAGAAGTCAACTCCCTCCCGCTGTTTGAAGCCTCGAGCAACGTAACGAGCCTTGAAGACAGGCGGAGAACCTGGCGGCCGCTTCACCCTGAAAATCCACATGCCGTCGACGATGTTCGCCCCAGGAGGGGGAACCTCGTCGACGTAGGTGCCTGTGGACTTCCAGGATGCCATCTCTGCGTCCATGGCTGTCTGCCACTGAGAGGAGTACTCACCCGCGATCGCCTCAGCGTAAGAGCGCGGGGTCGGGATGTCTGGTGCATCCGGGTCTCCCTCAGGGGCAAGCAGCATGGACACGAGATGAGGCGCAGCGGCCGCAAGACACTCAAGGTCCTCCTGTCTGTCCTCAAGGACGTCCGTGCCAAGAGCACACCCACCCCCGACGGACGGAGGACAGACAGACTCAGACTCAGCAACAAGACTAGCAGCGTAGTCTAGACGACAGGCAGCAGCCAAGTCAACCAGCTCAGCGACAAAGGCAGACGCAGCAGCAGACTCAAACGACGGGTCAGTGACAACAGTGCTAGCAGACGCGTGACAGTAGGGTGCTCAGCACGAAACCGGTCAGACTCAGGGTCCGCAACGACAGGCAGAGAAGACGCAGGAGGAGACGGCAGAGGAACACGCTGTGAAGGAGAGGAAGGACGACGGACTACGAGGTGGGTGTCAGAGACAGCCGGCTGAAACGGACGAGGAACACGACGACCGGAACGACCAGAACGGACAGGCGAGACAGGACGCGACGGGGGCGCACGACGCGCAGTAAGACCTCCTGTCTGCTCAGTGTAAGGAGAAGGAGCAGGCAGCTGTGAGCCAGGCTGTAACGGAAGCCCAGTAGACGAAGGGAGTCTAAGAACCTGGCGAAGTACAGAGTCAGGCGGTGGCTGAGACGACGGAGACGGTGGAGCAAAGAACAGGCGCGGCTGTGCAGCGACACCAGCACCAGCAGCTCCAGTACCCCCAGCAGCTCCAGCACCTCCAGCAGCCCAAGAACCCTCAGCGCCAGGTCCTCCAGGACCAGCTCCTCCAACAGCAGCACCCCCAGAACCGGCACCTCCAGTCCCAGGGTCTCCAGCCTCAGTGTCTCCAGCAGCAGCACCCCCAGACCCAGGGTCTCCAGCAGTAGCACCCTCAGGCTCAGCAGCACCTCCAGCCCCAGCAGCTCCAGTACCTCCAGTATGAGCACCTCCGGGACCAGTACCACTCCCAGCTCCTGTGACGTCAGCAGAAGTACCTCCAGCGGCAGAGCCCCGAGCTCCAGAAGAGCGACCCTGACGGCGACCGTACCAGTCGTGCAGCTGCTGTGAGGTGAGAGGCACATGCGGACGAAGGCGGCTACTCCAAGGAGACCGCGCAGCAGCAGACTCAGAACCCTCAGGTGTCGCACCCCCAGACTCAGTACCCCCAGGCTCCTCACGCTCGGGCTCAGCACCTCCAGACACAGCACCCCCAGGCTGAGGACCTCCAGGCTCCTCACGCTCAGGCTCAGCACCCCCAGACTCCGCACCCCCCGGCTCAGCACCCCCAAGCTCCGCACCCCCACGCTCCGCACCCCCAGGCCCAGCACCCCCAAAGACAGCACCACCCCCAGTAGGACCTGAGTCACCAGTGACCTCAACAGGCGCAGGCACGGGAGGTCTACCTGAGAAACACCTGAAGGAGCAGGACCTGGCGCGGGGAGGGGGTCTACCTGGGGAGGACCTGGGGCGAGAAAGAGCGGCGGGGGGGGGC